CTATTAATAACTGATAATTTATTATTAATCTAACGTAATCCCTATCCAGGTTAACACGAGGTATCGCACGAGTTGGTTAAAGGCATAAAGGTGAGTATAGATTAGAAAATTTGGTTCGTTGAAGAGTAAACTGACTCTGGGTTGCACAATCTTACTTTAACTTTAACAAACGTCAAAAATTTGTCAAACTTCATAAAAAAACTCCGGTTTATCGTTATAGAAACGGTTAAAGTTAGGTGGTGCAACTCGGCCTGAAACTTTTTATTGATTTAAAATCTTAATTGCACACGAAAAATGCGGTACAAAAGGCAAACTTAATGCCGTGTGCATTCTCTACCAGTTAACCTTTAGGCCAAACAGAGAATTTGAGTAGGTAAAACATATCCTAAAGTTGCTCGTTGCTCTATCTAGTCTATACTCACCTTAATGTTAATAATGACTGTAAATAGTTTGTAATGGGTATACTGAGTGATATTAAGCTGTGACCATTAGTCATGTGAGCTGAGACGCGTAAGAGATTTTAATTGAACTATTAAGTTAAGATCTTGTGATTATCTTATAATTTTGTAATCACTAGAATGTATATTCATTTAAAATCGTTTATGACACTACGAGTTTTGTAAATATGAATTTTTCTTTTCTTAAGCATCAATTTCCTCAAAAAATTATCAATCAATAATGCCAAGTTAGTTTTTAAATAGCACGACTGGGTTTTAGGACTACCAAAACAACGTCTTCCCACGTATTTTTTCTAATATTTTTTCCAAAAATAATCTCCAGAGTAAACGTAAGTAAATTTCTCTTCTTAAAGAAATAATTTCACAAACGCACTTAGTTTCTTTTGGTGAACTCTGACCCCTGCATTTATTCAACTGCTAGCAAGCAAATAGGTTAAAGCCTCTACAATTTACTGAGAAAACCCTGGATCAAATGCATCATCTTCATTTAAAACCACCAATACTCACTTTAGTTAGACCGATCTGATTCAGCTCCCACTCCTTTTAAATGGTGGTATTACGTACCATGCACGCACGCACGCCGCATGCTTTCTCAGCAATTTCTGCATACCGCCCTGGGAGTGGGGTGGACTTAATTAGGATGAACCTGTATTGTCCGATTTTTAATGCTTGTATGCTTTGTGTTTTTCGTCCCTTTGATTGGAGGTCTTGAGTTTAATACTTTGTAGGTTTTATGGATGGCATTATGTTTATTGCTGATTATTTATTATGTATGGACTTTTTGTTAAACGGTTAATCCCTTGCAATTAATAAAATATGACTATGCAGTACAGTTTCAAGAGTAAAAATTATTGGCTTTTTGTCAATCTTATATCCATTAATATATTTTATTTTAATATTCAGTGTAATAGGACTTTTATAATAATTTGTACGCTGAAAAACGCCGTTTTGTCTCTACATGTCTAGTGTTGAATTTTGACGCGCGGTGTGATAGTGCGTTGCGTTTTACGCGCGTAGTGACATAATTCTGTACAAAAAGCGTACATTGCAATATTATTTCTCACAAATCAGATTAAAACTTTGTAAACTCAAGCCGTTTAACAGTAGTGCGTTCCCCGGCTAGTAACTTCAAAACTATCCCCATCAAAAACCCGTTTGCAGCGAAATAAGACAACAAGGCTTGGAGGCCGTCATCAGATTTGAAATCATATGCAAACGGCGTTTCCCACGATCGGACAATTGAACGTTTATCGACTCCCGCGGCTTATTCTGGAGATTCACGGGAATACTGTGGGGATTCCTTATTAAGTACCACTTTAGTTGGGAGAACGGTTGTGGTTATTGTAACTGTAAGATTTTCTTTCGCCAATTTAAAATTACTTAATCTTTTTTTTTTCATATTTGTTGAATTTATTTTATGTTGATTTAATAGATTGACAATTTGGCTACAATCAGGTGTAATGGCAATTGTATTAAGCAGTAATAGAGTTTTAAGTAGAGTCAAACAAACACATCTCAAACTAAAGTAAATTTTTGAGTTCTGTCAGCTATACATCTATTCTGTAATTTTTATGTGAGACTTTAAAAAACTCTCTTAAAATCACGAAAATAACATGGATTAGGTAAGTATTGTGAAGAAGACTTATAGAGGCCTCAAACATAAATAATAATAAATTGTTTATTATTGTAGATTCGGAATCTAACGTAACTATTTCATGTCAGTGAAATTGAGTTCAAAGTCAAGTCAAAGCTTCAGATCCAACTGAAGATTACTAAAACACAAACAAAACTTGTCAGTCAATTCGAAGGTTAATGTAAGCACCAGAATAGGATCTCAGATGAGAAGTATCGTGCGATACGCGCAAGACTGTCCCCCGGGAATGTTCGCGAAATGTGTGCAGGGTGGGTTCACATGGGGATGGGATGAATCACCGATCGGGCTGGCTAGTTAAGGCCCGGCTTCAACCAAACCGGTGAGGAGATGTATTTATGTTTTCATTAAGTTATGTTTTTAATAAACAGATCAGACTTCGTTATTTACATCTTCGGTTCTGAAAATATGTGATTCAAAAAAATCCCTCTTCTCCTTTCCTCTCCGCTTTGTTGGGAAACTGGGCCTTAGGCAGATTGATGAATTATCGTTGTGCCTTACCTAGGTAGTGCGAAACGCCAGTGTTAAATTACGGAGCGCAGTGTATCGTTTATCTAATTTATGTTCGTAAAATCAATTGGCGTTCGTTAGTGTGGTTAAGATTCAAGAAAGGGGCTTGACCGATTAGAATCATTATTTTTTTCCAGGTTCTTATAAGAAGAAAAGCTGGAAAAGTTTCCCGAAAAATTTTCAAAGGAAAACTAAATGTCCTTTTAATTAAAATTGTTAATTTGAATAAAAAAGGGTCAGTATCCAGCAGTAACTGAAATACTAACGTAAAAGGTTTCAATCGAAACACAGTTCAAAAAACTTTTTAACCCGTTCCATGTAAACCCAGCCGGTAGCGTGCAGCTCCGTGACACGGCCCAAGTTCGATTCCCTGCAGGCACCATTAGGGCCAATAACCATCAGTCGGTAGCACTGCCCGGACCGCTAATTTTCTCTAATTTTCCTATCAAAAACGATACGGCATTTTTTGCAACGGTAGCCACGTCAGATCGTGGGAACGACTTTGTTACGTAATTATGAATTTTTGCACGCTTTTTTGTTCTCAAGGCTGACGTGTTTTGGTAGTATGTGTTGGGTGCATTTTTGTGATATTCGTGTTTTGTATGGAAAGTGGTACCCATTTATAGACAAACTATCAATATGCCTACGTTAGGTACGTACGTACAGGAAAAAGTGAAACATATTCAGATAGCGTGTATCTGAATAAATAAACTTGTTTCAGCATACTTCTGTCGGTTTCTACCGTTAATTAGTGGTTTAATTAGAAGTGTATTCGATATAAATTCGGGAAGAGTATTTTTTATCGCTATTCAAATAGCATAGTCAAAAAATCATTACAAAAAACAATTGTTTTACATAATTTAATGCGAATATAAAAAAATTACAACCAATGACATCCTACCTATCCTACACGAGCCGTTAGCAAAGAATACTCGTAATATTATACTTTAAATCTTTATTTTTACTGTCACATTCAGAGCTTAAACTCTTGAATAACCGTTTTAAATTCAAGATTGATCGTTCAAAACGCAGTTTTTTCTTAAAACGCACACGCGCCGTAATAAAATTACGTTTTAAAATGTTAAAAACATTATATGTTGTACACACGTTCGGTGTGAAATCCGACCTTGCGTTGACGCGGCAAATTGCTCCGCTGATCGAACCATTGTCGTTAGAGCTAGGGATGTGACAGAGTTTTCTCCTACATCGATATATTTTATTTGCAAATCTTTTATTTTATGTTAAAGTTCACACTTTACCAGGGTTGAGACAATAACACTATAAATGACGGATATTTTCAGGTAACAACATTTTTAGCATCACCACCACTTCAAGACAATGTCAAGGGAGATCCAGTAGGCTGAATATGGTAGAATTAAATAAGTGAACCCAACAATATCCGTAGATCATTAAAATGTTGTAGCACGTTCATATGTTTAACTCAAGAACTATAACGTAGGCAAAATTTTAAGTAGGTAGGTATTGTGGACACAAAATATTTGAAGATATGAGGAATCAAACATATAATATTTAAATTGAAATATTAGAACTTATATGATGATCGATTTCTTTGTAATTACAGGAAAACTTACAATTTCGATACGGAAACTATCGACTCACGCGCATCCCTATGAACGTTCGAAGTTGAAGCTATCACCAGTTATGATGGATCAAAGTTGTTGCATCCGCCCTTGACACTGTTGACGACTGACGGCTGCCAAGTGGTTAAGCGCTTGATGTGTTGACGCTCCGAACGTTATTAACCATTTTGTGGTACGTTTCTCAATTGGAAGGTCTAATAAAGACACTGATATGCTGTCTACTAAGTTGAGTATAAGGTCGTTTTCTAAAAGGTCTTATTCGGTTCTCATGTGAAATAAAACTTTAATGCTGTTTATTAACAGAATATAGTAACAAAAAGAATCAGAAAGATATTATAAGGGGGTCACAAAATGCGCACTTCGTAATATGCGCACTTTTGTTGGTTTTGGTATAAGTTCTTAGTCATCATCAGTAGTTTTCACTGCAGGAAGACGATCCTCTCTAATTTACCAGAGGAAAGATGAAGGACTGGGTCTACACTCTTCATGTTGGCCAGACGGGTTGGGGAGGCTTGATGTTCGCATATTCTCCTTTAGTCATCTCTTACGACATCGATGGAAATACTACAAGGATGGTAGTAGGGGTCACCATAATCTATTTTTCCCTACCGAAACCACACAGTTAACTAAGACTTTCTTGGGCTGAGTTGCACCACCTAACTTTGACCGTAACTATAACGATAACCGGTGTTTTTTGTATGGAGTTTGACAGGTTTTTGACGTTTGTCAAATTTAAAATAAGATGGTGAAACCCAATCTTAGTAACTTATAAACACTGACCTTGCTGAAAGTAGTTGGACTTCCTGACGTACACGCAGACTAGAGCCATGAGTTGCAGCTGGGATAGCCTCTGCCTGGTGGAGGGGGGGAGGGGCAGGAGGTCCCGGAGGTTCGCGATCTCTGCGTTGATGAGGTCTCGGCGGAGTTTGCTGGCGCCTTTCGTCGATTTGCCCTGGTCGAACCTGGGAAAGAAAGGGAATTTTAATTTGAAAATTATTAATAACTTGACAAAATAGAACTGCCTAAAGCGGGAATTGAACCCACGACCTTCCTTAAAGGGAATTTTAGTTTTTTATCTGGTTCCTTTTTCAATATCATTCATCTTAAGACATGTGTTTGAGGATTAACTGGATTGTGGGACTGACTATACCTTTCCTACCACTGCACTCTGCGAGGTCTACAGTTTGGCCTCTATTCAAAATCAAAATCAAATCAAAATCAAAAATATTTATTCAGTTTAGACCACGTGGCACTTATGAACGTCAAAATATAGTAAATAATAAAAAAGAAAAGGTAGCCCTTATGGGGCACTTTACTTACATGTCTCCTTATCTTTTGGGCCCTACCAGCGCTTCGAGACAAACATATGGCAAGTGCTGAGAAGAAACGCAGGAACAAACGAACAATTATAAATATAATCCTAGAAGTGAAGATCGAGTAGTAATACGGGGGATAGCTACGAATATACTGTCTGATGAAATAGACAAAAGGTAGGTATTGTGATTGTATCCCTATTTATTTATTTTACTCGTATTCTCCCTAGACTTTTTAAATCTGACCTCTGGATATCGGTATTAAAGAAAGTTTAAAGAAAACTTTTCTTAAACACTGCAGTAGTCAAATTAAAACTATGTTACTAAGGCTGAGTTGCACCACCTTATTTTAACCGTTACAATAACAATAACCGGTGCTTTTTGTATGGAGTTTGACAGATTTTTGACGTTCGTCAAAGTCAAAGTAGGATGGTGCAACTCAGCCTAAGACAAATGCAAAGCAAAACTTCCTACAAAATTAAAAAACGCAAATCTAGATTTGTATCAGCCACGTGTTACTTAATTGAACCAATTTTACACATATTTCGAATTCGCACTTCTTTTAGCCTCAATTTTAGTTCTTACATAAGTAAATTACATCTCAATTTAGTTGTTATGTTCGTATAAAATTAGTTCCACATTTCCGAACAGATTCTCATCGGAACAATTAACACAAATCGTCGATAAAAATGTTAATAACATTTTTAACGCGAATTATTTTCAAAAACTCAATATAACCTTGGTATGAGAACTGTGCCTCGTAATTGTAGCAAAGGTCAGCTAAATTGGTCAAAAGGTAATTCAATAATTTCGGAAGTATAATAAAATTTAAGATGCAATTGCATAGAGGTTTTTCTAATCGGATAGGTAACAAGTCGGGTACATGTTGACTATTAGTTTAGAGGTCTAGTGAAGGTGATTTACCTATAACCTCTTTTATGTAATTTTACGACCTCGGTGTACCTACATCAGTATTATAAAGTTAACCAATAACGGGAAAATTGAAACGATATTTATAAGTGCAAACTTACTAAAAAATTTTACTACAGTCCGTGAAACGTAGGTAATTTTTATTCATTGTAATGTATTAATATTATTGCAAAAAGTAGTCTTTTATTTTTTGAAATAATATAATGATTTCAACCCTGTATAGTTTCTGTAAAGACCTATATTTTTAAAACAGTTTTAAGCAAAGTTAAATAATGATTAATTATGCACTGAAACTAATCAACAAAACTAATTTGTTACGAATTACGTACGAAATATCAAATGTGATACGAATCAAATATTTTTTAGACATTAGGATAGCGAGATTATTATCTGAAGTATTCGAAATACATTAAGTGCATCTACAAATTTATTATTAATATTTAGTTTCTTAGATTCAAAATAAGTTTCTTTTATTTTGCGATTGATTTGTCGCTCCCCACATTGCCATTGACAGGTGTATTATTAATAATGCGAAGTTAGTAATCATTATTAATAACTAATAATAACAACCATAAGGTGTTGATGCGTTCACCGTTGGAAGGTTCCATGCAATTATGTGATTTATTTATTTATTAAAAGCATATAATTTTATATACTGCCCTTTGACATTTGGCAAGCTAAGGATTACTCGCTACCTGAGCATTAGCATCTATTAATATGACAACATAATGCGATTCTGGAAATGTACGATGAATTAATATCGTATACGAATATGCTTCTAACGTGTATTATTTCGATTGTGATTCATTAAACTGTTTTTAACTGGCTAATAAATTTAATGTGCACTGTTCTTTGTTGATTTTTTTTTAAAACAAAGCCTTAAATTTAATTCGATCAATAGATAGAGTAGGAAATAATAGTCTGGTAGGTACCTATACGAATTGCTTAGAAGGAAATACATAATTAAAAGTGTTAAAACAGAATATTTAATTAATATACACAGAAAAACAAGTACAAAAACGAACTGAATGTCATTAACTTTCCATGTGGAATCCTTTACGTCAACCTTTCCGCCATAAAATATTACGTTGGCTAAAAAAGCTAGGTAAAACAACGTATTATAAAAAATGGGATCCTATTTAAAGAAATCCCACAATTTATATTATTATTTATAGTCACGATAATATTAACAGATTTGTAGACTCCTTCAATTTCATCAAACAAGAAATAAGCTTCGACATTATACTGCCTTTATTAAAGTTGAAAGAGCAACAATTTAATCATTTTAAACTGTATCTAGTTTAGCCTAGGCCTTTTGTACTCTGCTTTCTCCAAGACGTGAACTAGTGAACTGTAGCCCAACATAAATAGGTTAGGAGCCAGTGCTCTCCTCTGAGGCGGTAATGCATCTCGTTCCCACGGCGAATATACCTGGGATATATCACTACCTGGCGTGCTCTACTTGGCGCCGTGTGTTTGCACCAGATATAAAAGGTTCGCCTAATAAGGCCCAGTCGAATATTAAGTCACATCTTTTCAAATACTACCTGTATTTATTAACTTGTCACCGGACCCAACTGCCTATATCCGGATGAAAAAAATATTAATTAGTCCAATATACAATAAGGTAGCTTTCATCTTGCATCTCGTTCCCACGGCGAATATACCTGGCGTGCTCTACTTAGCGCTGTGTGTTTTGCACCAAACATAAGGTTCGCCTAATAAGGCCCGGTCGAATAATAAGTCAAGTTTACTACCTCTATTTATTAACTTGCCACCAGATCCAACTGCCTATATTCGGATGAAAAAAATATTGATTAGCCCAACATAAATAGGTTAGGAGCCAGTGCTCTCGTCTGAGGCGGTAATGCATCTCGTTTCCACGGCGAATATACCTGGCGTGCTCTACTTAGCGCCGCGCGTTTTGCACCAGATTATAAGGTTTCGTCTAATAAGGCCCGTTTTTTAACCAGATAGTTTAAGGCCCGGTTGCTAATAATTCACTACTCAAACTTATTCCTAGGGATAGCAATCAAACCTACCTAAATTAGGCACTTATATCCGAATGCACAATTATTGAGAAGTTTTTCATTTATTTTTTTATTCATTTTTACTATTTTTAATTACAAAGTGCCATGTGAAAGTGTTGGGCGAGGCCTATGGCCTATGTTTAGCAATGGACGTCCTGTGGCTGAAATGATGATGATGAAGGACATAAAAAGTGTTTAATTATATCTACTTCAAGACCTTTTAGTGTCTATTAAACTTTTTAAATAAAAATTGTAGAATCATTTTATTCAAATAACCAACTCCACGTTTTCTGAACTTAATGCTGTTTAATTCTGAAATACTATCTTAGGCCTAATTTCAGCGGAGACGTTTATGTGGGAGTGTGAAACGGAACGCAAGGGAGTGAGTGAGACGGAATGAATGAGTGAGGAAGGAAGAACGACGGGATTTAAAGAGAAGACGATTAGTATTAAGACGGTTCTAAGACGTTCCTATTTTTTGTGGTTTATCCTGGAGTAAATACAAATAAAGCTGAAGAAATACAACCTGGGTTTCAATTCCTACAGCTTGGGGGCTCGTCCGGGATAGCCCAAGAAAAGGAAACACGACGATTCACGACGATTACGACGGATTGAGACGTGAGACGTATTTTTATCAATCATGAGACGACGACATAGTAAGCATGATTTCGAAGATGCGGAAGATGCTGGCCCGAGCAAGACCCTGGAGCAGCGCATACCTACTACTTTTGCCTATGCCGAGGAGCTGATCCCAAAATTTAGTGGTCGAGACCAAACTGTCACCGCATCAAGATGGGTCCAAGAGGTGGAGGAGAACGCTGAGATCTTTGGTTGGTCACCATTACACCAACTCATTGTGGGACGCAGATCACTCATTGGAACAGCGGCACTCTGGTTGCGGTCGGAGAAGCCATTCAGGTCGTGGGACGAGTTCAAAACTGGCTTACTCAAAGAGTTCCCGGATTCGTTAGACGTAAAGACAGTCCACGAAATGATGAGTGCGAGAAAGAAGGCCAATAGTGAGAGCTGTACTGATTACCTACTTGTCATGAAGGAGTTGGGAAGGCGCGGGAAAATGCCCGACTACGTCGCAATAAAATATATCATAGACGGCATTGTTGACGTAGAAACCAATAAAATCATGCTGTACGGTGCAACTACATACGGTGAGCTGAAAGAGAAACTGAAAGTATACGAGACAGTAAAGGCGAAAATGGTGGATGAACGACGTAGACCCTCCAGTAGCAGCACGACGGCACCGGTAAATTACAATAAGACGACAAGACCAAGATGTTTTAACTGTGGAGGAAGCAACCATATTTCGGCTCAATGTTTTCACAAGGAAAGAGGGGTTAAATGTTTCCGGTGTAATGAGTTTGGACACAGATCTAGCTCATGACGGAAGACGTGTACAAAACTATCGGCTCCCCAAAATACGACGACGGAAGATGTTTGACGTTGAGTGGACTCGGACGGACCGAAGTTGTCCCGTTGGAAAAAGATGATCAAGTTGTAGTACACGACATAGACGACTCTAGACACATGACTGAAATTGAGAAAATATTAGAAGACTGCAAGCCTACAGATGAAATAAAGAAAAGTAACGACTGTCAGATTGAACACCGACCTGTATCACGTATGAAACAAGCCAACGTCCTAAGCTGTTTAGTACTTACCGAGACGACTGCACGACTGAAGAAAGCACAAGATGAAGACGAACATATTCAGATGCTGAAAGAATCCTACCAGAATGACATGTTGTACCAAGAAAGAGATGAAGATGAATTATTATTTGTAGTACCGGAGAAGACGCAGAACGAAATTATAAGAGAGAATCACGAGGGAGGGAAAGAAGGACTGTTTAACCGAATTAATAAAGGAGATGATGAACTTGTTAAGATGATAGAAGAGGAAAACGTAGAAAGAATGAACGAGACAAGACCAGAGTTAAGAGAAAAGGCAAGAGAATGTGTGGAGACAATTCAAGATAGAAGTGTTAGAGTTTATAACAAGAAAAGAAAGAAAGCTGGAATATACGAGAAAGATGATTATAAGAATTGTATTAAACAAGATTAGTTATAAGACACTTTAATGTAAAGTTTTGAAATGAAACAGTCCGAGGGCGGACTGTACGCAGGATGGCCGAGTGTGGGAGTGTGAAACGGAACGCAAGGGAGTGAGTGAGACGGAATGAATGAGTGAGGAAGGAAGAACGACGGGATTTAAACAGAAGACGATTAGTATTAAGACGGTTCTAAGACGTTCCTATTTTTTGTGGTTTATCCTGGAGTAAATACAAATAAAGCTGAAGAAATACAACCTGGGTTTCAATTCCTACATTTATATAGTTTTAGTTTCTCAAAATTATTTTGAGAAATTCAAATCAGCGGTTGCAAGCGGAGCCTGCGTTTGCGCAGATCGCGTGCTCCACTATATTAGCTAATAAGGGGTTTACTCACTCATTGAATCTCGCCCCTTTGTGCCACTGATTGAAGACTCTTCCCACCAATCCCACGGGATATCGGAATGCGAAGCGTGCGAAAATATTGCATTGTATCAATCCGTGTGAATTTCAGCGAACGTGATCTTTATGTTATTCAAAATGAGTATGAAGTTATTAAATCTGTTAACATGAGTGAGAAGCTATACAGTTTTGAACGGATAAAGAATATTATCCTTTTTGTACTTACTTTCCTTAAGTGCATGGGAATAAAGTAAAGCAACAGCAAAGTCACGTGTAGCTCCTAAGAAAGTCTCGCAAAAGTTTTATCACTATCTATAATCCGTCATAATGAAACGAGAATCCGGTCTGATTTGAGATGCCTTCTATTTGAAATTCGAAGTACCTATATCGGAAGTGTGATGTACCTAATGACTGGGTACTATGATACCAAAAGCTCTTAAGATCCTTTCACAACGACATGTACTTTAAAATCGTGAACTTTTTCATATACCGTATAATGTCCAGAGACTACCTTCAGTTATTTCTGTACCCCCAGTGAAAACGGAGTTAAGTCGAAAATGGTGATTTTTGGGAAATCGCATTTGAAGTTAAAAAAAATCCTGCTTCGTCGCTATTATAGATAACTTGGTGAAATATTTTTTAGGTGAAAGGTAATGTTAGATATAATTAGGCAGTGTGCCAGTTTGGGAAATATAGCATGTAGTTTTTTCGTAAGTAAATAAAAACCCAGTTATATCGCCATGCACGGCAACTTTACATTCGTGTAAAGTGATGTAATGGGACATAAATCATTTTACACCACACTGAATTGACCACCCGCTAACAAGTGTAAAGTGATACATTTTACGCCATTTCTGTTGATATTTTTTTGTTTCTTTAATTTTAGAAAAAGTTGTAAAACAAACATTAGTAATTACACTATGAGGAATCATTATTTCAGGTTATTTAGGGTAAATCGCCCAAAAATGTCTACTTATATCAATATACACCAATTTTGTGATGAGAAAAAAAATGTGTAAACTGATCTAACTAACATAATAGCGATCTAAGTATCCTAATAATTATGTGTAAAGTGATATAAGTGGCGATTGTAAAGGAATAAGGCTAGAATTTTAGAGTGGATTCTAATTATTTACTCCTTAAATGTTTATTCTGATCTGAAACTACTATTTTATTAATTATTACACCATATACCATGAATGATATCGGCCTAAATCACATACATTATCTCCTATTTTAAAGTCTGATAACATTTTACACATGTACGAAACTTTTGTGGTTAATGGTATTAGTCTAATTGAATCATTATACACAAAATAAATAATCATTTGTCTTTTACTTTTTGTGCTATAAATTAAGTTACATTCTTTTTCACCAACCAACAATACATAGTTTTTTTTGTGTATATTAATATGAGTCATCTTATATTGTTAATCACAAATTCAATCTGAACAACTTCAATCGTGTAAAAAGTAGTAACACGAGTCGTACCTCTTGACACAATAAAAAATTGAAAGAAGCCTCCGGTACACTTTGTTAAAAGTAGACATGTATCAATATACACGAAAGAAAACTCAAAATTTGTTCACAAAGCCTTACTTGTATCATTTGGCACAAAATTATTTTCTTTTCTATACGTCGTAGAAACATACCGATTAGATACAAAAATAGCTAATTTTTCAGAGATTCACATTATGTTATAAAGTCAATTTTGATCTAAGTCGAGTTAGATCCCTTTTCACTGGGGGTACAGATTTTATCCCAAATTTCGGAAAGGATACACGTGAGATACAGACATAAATTGACGCGAGCGGAGCCGCTAGCAGAAGCTAACTGTACTATAGATATAGTTTAGTCTAACATAACTCGCATAAAGTTCAAGTAAAAGCTCCTTACATCCATTAAATGAGCAGATTCGAAGTGACAAGTGTGAAAGCACTTGCTAATCCACTCGTGCGTTTCCTCGTCTTCTAATAAGCAGTAAGTGACGCCCCGATGTGGCGGAACTAACCGGGCCATTACTACTGAGGGGGCAGAGGGCGCGTTAACCTTGACACGTGGATTCGAGTAGTACTTATTTGCGGGAGTTGAGTTGAATAATATGAACAGTTTTGAGGAGTTTGAAGAATTTAAAGTTTAGTTAAACTTATTATTCAAACAAATTAAAAGCCAACCAAACTATTACTAAGAGGATTTAAGACACTATTTAAATCAAAGATGTAATGGCTAAATAATGTAATAAATAAATAAATAAAATAAAACATCGGCCGACAAAAAGTTTGTAGTCTACGGGATCGGGGTGTCTAAAATTAAATAATGATCTTAGGCTGGGTTGCACCATCTTATCTTAACCATAACAATAATACTAACCAGTGCTTTTTGTATGTGGTTTGACAGGTTTTTGACGTTTATCAAATCTTTGTTTAGTCTGATGAACGACGATTGGATGGATATTTGCTATTTTTCAGGCATTAGTGCCTACGTAGTTAGCTACGAAATGGAAAAACTAAAACTTTTTACCTGATAATACCTACTCGTATTGTTATGACAAACTGAATTTCAAGCAGGTGAAGCCGCGTTAAAAAGCTTTTATCAATCATCATGATGCAATTGAAAATCAAAATTTCAGATTCTGAATGTAAAGCTTCGTTGAGTGACTTTACATACCACTCATAGCTTATGATTCCGATAATGTTCTACACATCACCACACATGGTAGCGGGTATATTTGGGCTGCGCACTAACAATGTCTTGCTATTATTGCCGGTGGTAGGAAGCCTTGTTTTCCCACGCTGCGAGCCGTTACAAAGGCAACTAATAATTTAGACAATTTTCCAATATCAGGTTCAGGTTGGTGGGATGCATGAGCGCCAGCGATTTTAAAATTGTGGGTAAATGAACCATCCGTAAAAAGAAAGTTCGTCTTATAATGAAAGCGAAAAAAAATCTTTCACTTTAGGTACCTACAAGATTTATAAAAAATTCTAAGGAGTGGTTCTATACATTTATTTATTGTTCAAATGATTTTATGACGAAATCTATAAATCCGAGTTGGAAAAAATTGAGAGGAACTTCAAAAGGACAGCGGGTCCATTCTCCTTGAACAAACTTGGCATTCATTGGTTCATTCATTCATTCATAAATATTTGAATTTGAATTCATTAGTTAGATTTATTAGCGACCAAACCTTAGATCTTGGCTTCACATTAGAAATGGCGACGTAAGTAGATGTAGAAATAGTCCCGCAAACAAGGAAGAGTTAAAATCAATAGTTACAAACATTAACCAAAATCCCACCCAAAAAAATGTGTAAAAAACTAGCCAAGTCTCGATGGAGCTGCTTGTTTATCTCTAAAAAGTAATGAAATCTAGACAAATTCGTGCCAAGTCTATGGTTCCTTACTGCGATTTCTTTATTATTATAGTTAATGTTGTGTGACTTGGCCGAAAGATGACGAAAATTTCTGTGTTCTGGTCTTATCCAGAGGTTCTCAAATAGGGGCCTGAAAATGCGGTGAAATGGTTCCAGTAAAGGATGATACGGCAGTGTTTGCTTCGCGCTCGACTCCAGATAGCAAAAAATACTTTTAACTTTTTCTTAAAAAAATATTAATGATTTGAATTTCACTCCCGTGAACCCCTAGTTCTGGGTGGTAAGCTAAATAAGCTTGTGTTACGAGAAGCTCGCTCTTCACTTGGACTACACCCCAAGGGTAGTCCACAGAAACCGCAAACACCGTATCAGCGTGTGCAGTACACGGACCAAGCATTAGGTACCGGGGAGTTCCTCTATCGCTCTAAGCGCGGTCTATAAATCCCAATACTGTGTTCCAGGAAGGCTTTATTACTACTGCATGTTTATACTGTGCATCTAGATTTCATAGATTTATTTGCGAGGAGATTGTACAGTCGTAAATGTATTGTCTTATAATCTTACTTAGGCTGTTTCATCTGTGGAAATTAGCCGACGTTTTAATGTTATGAAAATAACCAATTGCTGGAGCGGTATTTTTAATGTACCTGCGCGGATGTATGCGCGGCTATGTATGAGTATTTAAAGCATACCTAAGTATCCTGGGTATTTAAGGATTACCAAAAAACCCTTATTTGGTTTTGCAAAGGTCATCTGTCCATCTATTTGTGATTTATCTTCGATACTCTTGACAGTAGGTATCAGTTAAATGGATATTACTTTAGATATTGATGACGCCTGCCTTTCAGTAGAAATAAAGTCTCGAAAAAGCATCTTTCGGTATCTTCCCTGCGTAGTGAAGCAAAATGGTTGACAAAAATGTATCCCGTATCATTGACTGACAGCATTCTTTTATTAAATTGTTAGACCATCATGTCTATATTGGTTAACCATGATTTTTGCCAGTGACTGTACGACGCTACCTTTGTCGTTTTAGACAAATGGCGTTGTGGTCGCTTGTCTACGACGCTAAACGTTCGTGGCGCTTTTGTAACTGCGTATTATTGCACGGTGGTGAAATTATTTAGATTGTTGCTATCTTTGTTATCGCAATACTTGTTAAATTGTACCCAAAGTTTGTAATTTTGGTGCAAAAGTCAACAAGTTTAAAAAAAGTTACGATTACCTAGATCTGCAGAGGGAATATTGTAAGAGTTGCTCAGATGTGATTGTCATACATAGAATAAGTATAGGTATGGATTTTAAGTTTTTGTTGCAAATACCGTTCCTGGAAAATATCATAAAAAGTTTATAAAACTTGTAATTCACACAAGTACGTAAAAAGCAACTGTAGACAAAGTCTTTTTTTCATTATTGAGATTCATGCAAGTAAGTAGGTAAGTAAATAATTCAGATAAGTAGATGCATAATTTATCGAATCGAAGTCTATAGCTATGACGTGACATTGTCTATGTCTAAACTGAACAAAAGTAAAGAGTCACTCACTTTCCTAAATAAACAATAGATAGAGTCTAATCTGCAGTGTGAAAGCTGCAGTCCGCGAGGAATGGCGCCGTATTACGAGAGACATCACTCTGAATCGTGATTCACAATGATGACCACGACTACTCTGACAAGAGTGTACCGACTGAGAAGAAGAAGAATCTAATCTCATACAAACCATCTCTACCAACATACCATTTGAATATCAGAATAATCATGTTTTTGACAAACTTACAGCTTACAGTGATGATATAACTATAGTTAACTATAATAGCCGATAGCGGGAACAATTGGCTGGCCGTGGAAAGTGGTCTAAACGTACGGCCTGCAGGCTGTGCAATTTTACCTCATATCACACGCCTGCATGCTAGTGGTGACGTGTGTGTTGGAGTTTGGATCGTAAGAAGGAANTAGTTCAGAGTATTTCCCCGGGGTTGGTGGACACAGCCATGATCGGCGAAGGGAACCCTCTGCCCAAGATGCGACCAGAAGATGTGGCAGATGCCGTCGCCTATGTGCTGGCCACGCCGCCTTCTGTCAATGTAAGTGGTACTTTTCAGCAAACAAAAGGTGGAAATAGGGTGAAATAGCACTTTTGTCCTAGAAAACGACTTAGAGTAGGCGCACACCGTTGATTTTTCGTCGGCCTATAGTTTAGTCGGGCAGTTGATCAGTATGGGCATGTATGGTAGTGCGCACACTACGCCGATACGATTTAGCCGATTCTTCATACAAATTAATCGGGCACAAACTAAAAATCAACGGTGTGCGCCTACTCTTACCTACATCACTAAAATGTCTCAGTCTACACTATCGCATTAATGCTGGTAATGTGTCATTATTCTGCTTTTGAAAGTGAAACGCTTCACATACATACTTAGTTCCCACGTTCCAATGTAATATGAATTAACTTTATGCGGGTATGCGTATACCTACGCATTACGCGTATCTTTATTGGCGAGTAGAAGAAGTAACTCGCTAAATATCCTGAAAATGATCTTTATTTAGGTAGGAGAAACTTTTTAGTAAGTACCTACCTGTATCTAAATTGAAAACTTTTAGAGTTAATATGGTTCATACACGACTTAAGTGTTATTAGGGCATCGGATACCAATAGAGTACCTATCAAACACTACATAAATGATTTTTTCAGGTCAATGAAATGGTCATCACAACAGTTGGCGAGAAGAGGCTATAGGATTTTAAGTGAAACCACAAACTTTATTTCGATTTTTATTATCTTACATGACATTATGTTTAAGAATAAATTATCTAAATACAAAAATATGGCTGTTTTATTTGATTACCATGGCACTTAGTGGTAGAACAAATCCAACCAGCCATTCTACTAAAATATAAGGGTTCCGTTTTTCCTTTTGAGGTACGGAGCCCTAAAAAGGAGCCAAAGTTTTATTATGGCTTTCTTCACAAATATCGTCCCTCCCAATTTCTATAAGTGGCTATTAATGGTCTGTTCTTAAATATCTATAAGCTTACTAGCTAATATCTTATTTGAAACGACCAGCTTTTATTTATTATTGGTTAGTCTATTTCTATTCCTACGTGGTGATGGCATTGCTAGAGCTTGCTGAGGCTTGCCCCATGATGTTGGTAGCGAACTGGAGGAAGGCGCGCAGGATGTCCATCTTCAGGGTCCAAATCGGAGACGAGGGTGGTTGCTGGTCGTTGCGAGTCTGCTGAAGAAAACACTATTGTTAAAAGCCGTATATTTTTCGTGATATTGGTGCAGAAACTAGATGAAAACGTGCGTGGAAAAAAACTTAAATTCGGAAAATTTAAAAAGAAAGTTAAAGTGGTGGCACAAAATAATAATCTGGTTACGAATTGAAGAGGGATGAATCTGAATAGCTAGAAAGACGGTGTTTTCAAGTACTGAAATAAGAATGAATAAAATAAACAAAATTAAAACACACGTAGAGGAAATAAATTAATCTTACCAACATAAATCCTATGATAAAATCATAAAAGTTATAAACATAAAAGATATTTTGAACATTTTATTTTATGACATCATAACACAAACCTATCTACATTTGTACATTTTACGAAATTAAATCAATGAGCATTATGACACTGGGCACATTTAACCACAAAGCCCCCGTAGTATTTCTCTAAAAAGGTGAAACTAAACTAAAAAGGCGGACTTCAACGTTTCATATTCTGTTCGAATCTCAAGTTCCGCTTATCAAGGTATCTCCTCCAGGGATGGGAGCTGCCCCCCGAGCTACTCTTGGACATGTCTCCGAGCAGAGACATCACGAGACTGAGGAAGAAGCCAGCGGAGTCCGCCATTTGCATGCCGCCTCCTTCTTCGGAACTCGCGTCTGGGTCTCCGGCCTGAAAACTCATATTATTTGAATCTCTGGCGCCGTTGAGAAATATATTATTTACTTAGGTACTATCTTATTACGAGTTTACACTCGTACATACACTTACGTGTATATCAAACTCTGAAATAATAAGTGTATTTAACTACATCGTAAAATTTCTCACATATTTCATCAATTTAATATTTTTGTTAATGTATTTCATAATTATAAACACTAAAAAGCAAACGTACCGCGCTCGTGCCTTTTACTAGTTTTGATACTAGATTTCCGAAGAAAGCTCCATTGTTTTGCTGAAAGTGAAATATGTAAACAATAATGATTTGATCGGATGATGAACGGTTCGAGCATTTTAGAAAGAGCAATCAAAATTATAGAAGCGGTCAAAATTTTTAAAATTATTAAAGAAATAGAAGGCATACAGCTCCACCGCCGGTGAGCGTATCAAGAGATGTCAGGAGATAGCTTGCGATCACAGCTCCGGGGTTTTCTTCACCTTCAGACTGTAAACACATTATTTATAATATTATATTTGTGTTTCAAAATCGCGTTAAAAACGTCGTACTAAACGCTCTACTTACCAGTAATCCAACGAAAAGTCCTAGACCAGATGCAATAAGTGCATTGATGTCAATTCCATCACCCTGAAATCATCAAAGTAAATTGGATTTCCTAAATAATTTAATAGCCTACTTCATTTTCTCCAGTAAAACTTTACTTACGCTGAGGTTTACAACTATACCACTAACTGTAGCCAAAAGAGATCCCAGATCAGACTGACCGTCTTCCTGAAAAAATATTATTATCACGTAAGTAAAGACTGTTTTTTTAACAAATTAACATTAGGTTTAGGCCTTCATAGAAAACTTACATCTCCACTCAAAGACGCCAATAATCCCAAAATACCTCCACCCTGACCGTCTCCTTCAGGAGGTTCGTCTGAGAAATCATCGTCATCAGGCTCTTGGTCCGACGCCTTTGAATTGTCATCACCATTCTCTAAACTCTCTTCCTCTCCTTTATTCCGTTCTTCATCACCATTGTCGTCATCACCGTTGGAATCATCATCACCATTTGAGTCTTCGCTATCCGAACTGTCTTCTTGGCTGTCCTCTTCGGTCTCTTGGCGTTGGAAAGGGGGCGGTTTTAAACCCTTTATTTCGTCAATCTCAATTTCATTGTCTTTAACGCTACGCCGAAGGATTAGGTGGCCTTGGTTGTATGCCAGTATTTCTCGCATTATGTTTCGTAGAAATGGCTGCAATTTAAGAAAAAAGTGTCAAATTTTATAGTACATATCGCTTAATAATAACTTGAAGTAATTAAAAAGTAGTTATTGTTAGTTAATTAAATTGATATGGATTTTACTTACCTCAATTAATGCAGGTGCATGTATTTCTTTACGTGCTCACTCAAAACAATGTGAAGTCTCCAACATTTTCCATTTGCTAGGTGCACTCACACACAAAAACATGTGCATTATTATTTGTGTATTGTGCAATGTGCATTAAAAACCGTAAAATAATTAAAATAAAAATACCGTTTACCGTTTTTGGAAAATATAAGAGCCACCATAGTAATGTGCTGTGTCTGTGTGAAGCTAAGGTGTGAAGGTGAAAGTAGGTAAAAGTACGCGACGAACCTCAAAAAGACCAGAAATAAAAGCGTATTTAATCGGACCCAATCAAAAAAGTTAGAAAATTGGGTTGCTGTTGTAAAGTTTTAAAAACTTACAGTGGCCCCACTAGAACTAGGGAACAGGGCTCCAGCCAGCCGCAGCAGACTCAGAATGTTGCTGCCTCCAGTGGAGGAAGTTTGCATGGGCTCGCTGAACACGGCGTCGTCGTCATCATCGTCGTCGTCGAAGGGATCCAGCGTGCTGGTGGAAGGTGGAGGAGACACGTCCTCGGGTGATTTTGACAACTGGGAAGATAAGTGATCATTGGTTAATAAAAGTAAGGAGTAAGCTGCTTCCACGTGGTGCAAAAAGTTCGACATAGCGGTAGGACCACGGGTCGGGAGTGCTGTTGACTCCTAGATTATTTCAATGACAATTATTAGCATCAATATTTTTCTTCTGATTTCCTCTTGAAAAATATTGTTCTATAACTATTGTAGGTACCTACTCGTACTTTGATTAAAGTCGTGACAGTAACTTTTCTTATTGATATCCTCCCTCGGGAGTCGATACTACTCAATGGTAATGGGTAAAATTTTTAGTCGTACATTATTGTTGGTGTTACAGTGTTTACTTACTTAGGATGATAAAGTCATTTCTACCTATGTAACCTCTACTACTATTACATACGGTTGAGTAGGTATGCCCGCTAAGTATCGTAGCGTATGCATTCGAGCGTACAGTGTCACTGTTAAATTTAATAGCACTTGTTAAGTACTCGTTATGCCAAAGCGAAAAGCGGTTCTTTCGCAATAAAGTTTAACATGCAAAAACTGGTTGCTGCCAAGTACACTTTAATGCAGTCAAATTCCGGGGAAATATCTTCCATGATTACACGCATTACCGAATATGTCTAAAAGTTTCGCATTTGGTCATTGGATTTCCGTTTAATTTCCTTTTGACAGAATAACTGTGTAGGTAATTACCTCTTGACTCTACCACTGCATCTATTGCTAAGTCCAACCAAGTAGTGAGTGTTAAAAGTAGTTCCAGGAAAATTCAAAAAAATATATCGGATCTTCAATGAGATAAGATAAACGACAGAAGTAAGGGATAACCTGAAGTAAGGGATTAAAGGCTTTGACTAACAGGGTTGGCACGAGCGTGGTTGGTGCATTGGAAAGATATCGATTCATAAGTTGAAAACATTCCTGAAAGGTTTTCGTTTGGTTATTTTACTTCAATGGTAATATTTATCTTTCTCTATCGTTTTTATCCGCGTTTGAAATTTATATCCTCATGCTAGACTCTAGCATGAGGATTTAAATAAAATGTTTTACTCACACTGATGTGACTCTAGCAGCTAGAGTCACATCAGTGTGAGTAAAACAATATAAAAAATTAAAACTTACCGAATCACTACTCCCCTCAGGCACGGCTGATTCCTTCGGAAAGTCAAGTTCATTTTCGGCGTAGCCTCGCCTTCTTCTTTCACCAGCTGGCACACAGAACGCGTTCCCTAGCAGGCACAGAACCCAGAGCGTCGCCACGTGTCGTCTGCACTCCATTGTCACTGCCACTGGAATAACTGAGCAGAAATATGCTCTCGAATAAAGAAGGTTCTAAACTAGCACCCATTAGAGGAACAGGAATGCTGTTGAGTTGTAGGTGATTAGGAAATGTGCACATTAGCTGGCGCCTTATGTGATTGCGAAATTGCGCGTTCTTATACTTAAAATCATCATTAATTAGCCTTTATTAAGATCCACCTGTCAATTCCAGTACTTTGGCGCCGGATTAAATTAGTTCATTAATTAAATATTAAGTGATGAATGACTTATCTAAATGACGAATTCCAATGTAAAAAGTGGTTAATTTGAATTAGGTAATTTTAAAAGATCAAAACGTCTGAGAAATAAACTGATTCATCAAAAAATACTTTTGCACTTACGTCAAAAAATCTATAGTAAACTTACGTAAAGGAAAAGAAAGTTTTGTTAATAATTTACTTACCTATATTTTAGATTTCGATATGTTGATAGAGTTTGGATGAGACACCTGTGTGACTAGATGCGGTCCTATCAGTAGGCTGCCACTGATTGGCGCGGTCTAGGCCGCAAGGAGTATCTTATAACAAAACTGGGTTCCGCTCGCAGATACAGGCTGATGCATTTTGTTATTCACACACTCAAAAAAAAACACCTAATTTATAAAATCTAGTTTTCATATCCTTTAATATCAGAATACGAAAAACGGTTAGCAAATCGTGTAGTTTAGTTGGTAGAAGTAGTAGGTACTTCCGAGAAATTCTTGACTTTTTCGTTTCTTATCATCTAAAATCGTCTATGAAAATACCTACCCCAAATTGCTAAAAATATTATTGACCAAATTAACTCGCCACCTACATAAGACCTTTAGGAAGTAGAGTCGCATTATTAGGAAGTAAAACACTCATTCATGTTTTTTGTGATGACTTTATCCAAATTAATATGCTTCTAAAATTATAAAGGGAATTATCCTATTATCATATTAATTTTCGTTTCCTCAGTAAAAAGCCTTATGAGATATTTACCAATGTAAATTTTTAATAAATCACCTCAATAGCTAGAATATGATCAGCCTGTAGAGCCAGGCATGAGGCGCGAAGGTCCGGCGCAGGCTCGTATTAGCCGATACTGCGCTTGCGCCACTCGAGTTGCCAAACCGACGTGTCGTGTCGCTTCATCCGCCAGCCTCCTACTTCCGTCACTTCCACTGCTGAGTAAACATGACATAAGTACACCACCTTTTCGGTGAACGGGATCATAATAGCATAGAAAAAACTTTTAATAGTTATAAGAGAGACTCCTAAAAAGTGCAAACAATTTTTAAACCACCCACGAGTGATATAGTCAGTGCTTAGCCTGCCAAGTGCCATGCTATAGCTAAAATTACGGTCTACCTATTCCATTTTGATTATTTCGCAAAATAGGTAAAATGACTATGAAATAAAAAAATATATCGTAGGTACAAATGTTTATTTCATTACACATGATCATATAATTTTAACAAAGAAAGTATTTGACCATAAATACATATGATTCAACAACAAAAATAATATGTAAATTACCTATTTACAATTAAAATTGCATAATACTAGTAAGGCCTATTAATAAACAGCTCACACAGATAATGTACATGATAATCTTTAATAAGAATTCGATGATTAAATGCATAATTACATAATTATAAATGAAGCAATTAAAGTAGGTACTAATAAGTACAGTTATTTAAAAGAGTGCCAAAGAATTCCTATGACTACTTTTAACCGTACGAAAAATTTAATAAAATTTTATTCATAGGCATGAAAATCTACATTTGCAGACTTACGTCTGTCTGTGTATTATACTTCTCAAGATAAATGTCTCAGTTCTAATCCTACTTGGGGTCATAACTAATCTTAGTCAGTGCCCACAGTCGCTTCAGCTCAGCTTTAGGCAGCCGCAGTTTCTCCAGCAATGGTAATGGGCACGCCAATGAAGTTACAGATAAATATCTCAATTCTAAGCAGCCTACTTAGGGACTTAACAAATGTTAATTTCACAGACGATTCAGCTCTACACGACCGGAGTTTCTCTAGCAGCGGTATGGCCACGCCATCCAACGAGGTTACAAAATATCTCAGTTCTAAAGCAGCCTATTTGGGGTCCCCTGGGGACCTAGGTGGTCGCATGAGACCGCACCGAGACATTTTTATTGTGTATCGATTGGCTGGTACTCGAAGGGCTACCAAATCTTAGTCCGTGCCCACAGACGCGTCAGCTCTAGGCGTCCGCAGTTTCTCTAGCAACGGTATGGGCATTCTAACGAAGTTTTATAAATATCCCAGCTCTAAACAGCCCACTTGGGGTTTTATCTCGTGAAACCCTAGGTGTTCGCATGAGACCGCGGCGGTAACAATTTATTTATATTGTCTCGATTCGCTGGTACTTGAAGGGCTACCAAATCTTAGTCAGTGCCAACAGACGCGTCAGCCCTCGGCGGTCGGAGTTTCTCTAGCAACGGTATGGCCACTCCGACCAGCTCCTCCCAGGCTGACAGCCTCCTGCAAGGATCACAATCACATTCCTCCTCCCCCTCGCCGTCTTCGAAGCCCTGGTCCTCCCCCGAGCAACCGGTCCGGTCGCCGTCTTCATCCTCCGAAGGATTGTTCAAGCTGTAAGCTCGGATGAAGAGTTTTTGATTGGGTTTATCGTCGCCACAGTTATTGTTGTGGACATCGAATTGTACCTGTGGAAGAGAATTGTCAAATTGGTAGGTAAAATCATTTGATTGTGTAGTAAACTTCGCTTTAAGTGTGCTCTGGCCCGTGCTTTACCCTACGTCGACTACGAATCTACGAGCAAAACTTTATTATAAAAGTATGTGGGTAGAGCAAAGTGATAATTTCAATTTATAAATGCATTAAGTATCTGTGGCATAAATGCATTGGTTTTATCGACTCTACAATGCGTGCCCGGTCTGAATTACTGTAAGAACATTTTTTCTTAAAACAAAATACGTTTAGTTTTTAAACACAGTAAAGTTTCTAGAGCTATATTTATTAGTTATTTAACTACTTATGCTACTTTATTACTTTTACTAACGTAAACACATGACAATCACACACAAAATATTACAGAAAAGTAAGTTAATATGATAATTACATGGTGCTTGTATAGAGCGGGATCACTCGAGCGTCGCTCTCCCGAATGAGTCGCCTCACACGCTGCGAACACGGACTCATCGTCTGAAACAAAAGCTATCGTTGTAGAGAAAACAAACTAATTAATACACGTAAAAGTTTTATTTTTTGTTGGTCAAATCCCTTTGCATAAAACCAAGAAGCTCTACTATATGCAGTTTTTTCGCTTAATTTTGGTCTCACAAAGCTTACTTTTCTTTCTCTGCATGAGACTATTTCGGCCTCTTTCAAAAGAGAGACGGAGAATTAACACCAAAATTTTTTGAGAACTTGAAATAATAATATGCACGTTTTTATTCTCTATGTAAAAATAAATTAAAAAACCAAAATGAATATTTTGACCCCGACGTGATTTGAACACGCAACCTTCTGATCTGGAGTCAGACGCGCTACCGTTGCGCCACGGAGTCACATGCTAGTTGCGCCGAAATAGTCGAATAGGATGCGGTGTAATACGAAAGCGCCGCCATTTTTTGACGTAACCGCCCGGTCGATCGATGACGTTTCAAAGATAAACAAATCTTGCAATAGATAAACAAAAATAGATTGCCTTGCAGAAATAATGATACTGAAATAGTATTTTCAGTCGTTTACTTCATAGTATGTAACCTATTTAACGCTTAACATGAATAGTAATTGAGTAATGTAGAGTCTTGTCTTACTTTTGTTTGAAAACCTGGCACAAGTAAATAATGTAAGAAGAACATTTCTGGATCGCTTCGTCAAGGATGTAACGTGTGTTCAATGAGTTGGAAGAGATTGCTTTCTAGCAATAAGAATAACTAGTCGTTTTTTTGTGTTGTTTAACTAATGGCAATGCCAGATTTTGTATGGAAGGTGGCGTCTTTTTATTTTCGCGCGGCCATCGACCAAACTTTGTTTTTTGATTACAAAATAGTGTAATAAACCAAACTTACTATGGCATGTATACCTCTAAACTCAGTCTGAACTGAGTTACGAGCATTAGAAGTTTGATGATTTTTATACTAGATTTGCTTTTTTTTTTTGCGCTTTTTTTTTGCGCGCAAGTTTTGTAAGAAATTGCAACAAAATATTGCGCAATTTTTTTATTGCGCTGATTCTGCTGTATACTGATGTCTGGAGCCTTTAATGGATGGTATTGTTTGTTTTCACATACAATGTCACTATTTTNAGTTCAGTTCAAATTGGTTTTTCATTAAGTATTCGAAAGAATAGTTCAACTCTGCATGCTTAAATTTGTAGCTTAAGAGTCTAGTTTTTACAGCATCCTAACAGAATAAGTTATATTTCATTAGATTTCTCAATATTGAACAATTTCCAAAAAATGGTACTATTGTCCCCGGTCTACCCTACGTAAAATTTAATAAAATTTTATTTATAGGCATGAAAATCTACATTTGCAGACTTACGTCTGTCTATTATAGGTACTTCTCAAGATATAGATATGTCTCAGTTCTAAGCCTACTTGGGGTCTTATTAACAAATCTTAGTCAGTGCCCCCAAACGCGTCAGCTCTAAGCGACCGTATTTCCTCTCGCAGTTGTATGACCACGCCAACGAGGTTAAAGATAAATATCTCACTTCTAAAGTAGCCTATTTGGTCTTAACTAATCTTCAGTCGCAGTTTCTCTAGCAACAGTATGCCCACGCCAACGAGGTTGCAGTTACATGTCTCAGTTCTAACCAGCCTACTTGGGGTCTTAACTCGTGGAACTCTAAAGTGGTTGCATGAGACCGCATTTCTATTGTGTCTTAACTTGAAGGGTTCCCAAATCTTAGTCAGTGCCAACAGACGCGTCAGCCCTCGGCGGTCGGAGTTTCTCTAGCAACGGTATGGCCACTCCGACCAGCTCCTCCCAGGCAGACAGCCTCCTGCAAGGATCACAATCACATTCCTCCTCCCCCTCGCCGTCTTCGAAGCCCTGGTCCTCCCCCGAGCAACCGGTGCGGTCGCCGTCTTCATCCTCCGAAGGATTGTTCAAGCTGTAAGCCCGGATGAAGAGTTTTTCATTGGGTTTATCGTCAGCACAGTTATTGTTGTGGACGTCGAAATGTACCTGTAGAAGACAATGATTAAAATAGGTTGGTAAAATTATTTGGTCGTGTAGTAAACTTCGCTTTACGTCAAACTTTATGGCCCGTGCTCTCTTCACCCTAAAAGTAGTGCAAAGTCAATTTCAATTTAAGCATATCTGTAGCAAAGGCATTGGTTTTGTCGACTCTATATCTCCTCCCCGGTGTGGATTACTTTCATTTAAGAATCTCTTTTCAAAAACATACGAATACTAATGTTTTTATACGAGTACAGAGTACAAAGTTTCTAGAGTTCTAATTAGCTAAATTTTAACTCTGCGTCATTCTTTATTTCTATTACTAACATAAACACATGACAATCACACACAAAATATCACAAAAAAGTAAGTAAATATGATAATTACATGGTGCTTGTATAGAGCGGGATCACTCGAGCGTCGCTCTCCCGAATGAGTCGCCTCACACGCTGCGAACACAGATTCATCGTCTGAAACAAAAGCTATCGTTGTAGAAAAAACAAACTAATTAATACACGTAAAAGTTTTATTTTTTGTTGGTCAAATCCCTTTGCATAAAACCAAGAAGCTCTACTATATGCAGTTTTTTCGCTTAATTTTGGTCTCGCAAAGCTTACTTTTCTTTCTCTACATGAGACTATTTCGGCCTCTTTCAAAAGAGAGACGGAGAATTAACACCAAAATTTTTTGAGAACTTGAAATAATAATATGCACGTTTTTATTCTATATGTAAAAATAAATTAAAAAACCAAAATGAATATTTTGACCCCGACGTGATTTGAACACGCAACCTTCTGATCTGGAGTCAGACGCGCTACCGTTGCGCCACGGAGTCACATGCTAGTTCCGCCGAAATAATCGAATAGGATGCGGTGTAATACGAAAGCGCCGCCATTTTTTGACGTAACCGCCCGGTCGATCGATGACGTTTCAAAGATAAACAAATCTTGCAATAGATAAACAAAAATAGATTGCCTCGCAGAAATAATGATACTGAAATAGTATTTTCAGTCGTTTACTTCATAGTATGTAACCTATTTAACGCTTAAAACATGAATAGTAATTGAGTAACGTAGAGTCTTGTCTTACTTTTGTTTGAAAACCTGGCATTTAAGTAAATAAAGTAAAAATAACATTTCTGGAGCGCTTCGTCAAGGATGTAACGTGTATTCAATAGTTGCTATTGCTATGAGTTGGAAGAGATTGCTTCCTAGCGATAAGTTATAGTCCTTTTTTGTTGTTTCTTTAATTTGTATTAGATTACTTCTCTGAAACAAATTAAACATCAGTAAATTAGTAGGTAATTTGACCCGCGAAGTGCTCTGTCACACACAAGACAATGACCGTTTGTTTTTATCGTGTAAAAAAGATCGTACAAGACCACCGAGTTCGAGTTTAGTGTAGCGTATATTCATATTATGAAGGCAGTGAGTGCAGTGACCGCATCGGTTAAGTCTTGAATCCTTTTAGACGTAACGTGTGTATTTAGTAGTCACCTAAATAATAATTACCTACTTCTCTTTATGAAATCAAGCTTACCAAACTGAAAGTGTGCACTTAGCCGAGCTCTACCTCCTATCTCCTATAGCTACGTACTCAATTCGTAGTAGAATAGTAGCATAGCGAGCGACCATTACTTTGTATAGCGCGCATTTTGCAGTATGTAGTTATCTCTTGTACTGTAGCCCTGCAGTTTGCATTTGCACTTACAATTTGTGTATTTAATTTTTCATTTAGAACTGGGCGTCTTTAACTGACTGACTCACCAATCAAGGCAGTAAGCGCGGCGGCCGCATGTGCCAGTTCCAGTAGCACCGCGCACGCCGAGTTTGCAGAGAGCTTCAGAACGTACCAAAGAAAATATCAGGGGTAAAAGATACATCAACTTACCAATGAAAGCGGCAAGCGCGGCGGCCGCGTGATACGCATGAGCTTCAGCGAGCGGCGCGTGCGTGTGCGCGTTCCATAACACGGCGCGTTATTATGTTGCATGGATAATATAGTGGTGAGCGAATTCCAAAGCTCTTGTACTGGTAGAGCGCGTGCCAAAGCTCTTGGATTGGCAGGTCGCGTTCCAAAGCTCTTGGATTGGCAGCGTCGCGCTAATAAACTAAAATATCAACCATATTTAAGACACGTCATCAACTTACCAATGAAGGCTGCGAGCGCGGCGGCCGCGTGATACGCATGTGCTTGCGCGAGTGGCGCGTGCGTGTGCGCGTTCCACGGAGAGCGCGCGTTCCAATGCTCTTGGATTGGTAGCGCGCGTTCCAAAGGTCTTGGATTGGTACCGCGCGTTCAAAAGCTCTTGGATTGGCACTAATAAACTAAATATCAACCATAAAAGACACGTCATCAACTTACCAATGAAGGCTGCAAGCGCGGCGGCCGCGTGATACGCATGTGCTTGCGCGAGTGGCGCGTGCGTGTGCGCGTTCCACGGAGAGCGCGCGTTCCAATGCTCTTGGATTGGTAGCGCGCGAGCCAAAGCTCTTGGATTGGCAGCACGCGTTTCATAAACTCTTGGATTGGCACTAATAAACTAAATATCAACCAAAAAGACACGTCATCGACTTACCAATGAAGGCTGCGAGCGCGGCGGCCGCGTGATACGCATGTGCTTGCGCAAGCGGCGCGTGCGTGTGCGCGTTCCACAACGCACGTGCAAGTAGCGCTGCGCACGCCGCGTCTCCACAGCCAGCTGCGGCTACCAATGCACGTGCAGCTAGCGCGCCGGCGTCCGCGCATTCGCTGCCGGCGCCGCACACGTTGACTAAAACTCCTGCTGCAGCGCAACGCACGCTGGCTTCGTCTGCGAAGGAATTGATGGAGCAGACTTTTTCATACTACTGGGGGCTTAGTATGAGTTTATATCAAACGTATTCGATATCGACTGCGTAAAAAAATGACATCGATGTAGTTAACATTTTCGACGTGAATTAAATAAACATCATACCCTTGAGATTTAAGATTTAAAATTAAATTGAGGGAGGTTCTATTGGGATAGAGATAGTTGGATTGGCGACTGTACAGCATCTATGACTGCATGCGCACTATCAATACAATTTCAAGGTTTATCGGCGGTTTTTTATTATGGCACTGTTTTCTTCAAATAGCAAAGCCTGAAACTATCGATAGGAATTAGCCTGAGAACAAATAGAACAGGTAGAGAGCCAGAAGGAGCTTTTAGTTATCCCCTTTTTCATTTATAATTTAAAATAAAAAATAAAAAAATAAGTACATGCTCTATGCTCTTCTTCTTTTACAATCAATTCCTTATTCATTCTTACTTCAGTTCAGGTGTAACTTAATTACCATGCTCCAAGAATGGCACGAGCAAGTCTAGCGCGCCCTCGAGCACGATGAGCTGTGCTGAGCGCGTGTCCCGGGATAGATTCCCGAGGGCACGCACCGCCTCGCACGCCGCAGGCCCTGAGCCCGCCAGCCGTCTGCATGTCACTGTTGACAGGAATCCACTGTAAGCATGCATCATACGAACGCAGAGGGCCCGGAGTCAGCTTTCCGCCGATATTTTACTGTTGATATGATACACAGTATGCTATGATGCATCATTGTATTCACCATCATCAGTAGGTCATTAAGTCTTCATTGCAGGATCACGACGTTGCCAGATGCCATTGGTCGGGATTTGGTGGGATTCTCCAGATATATATGCCCACCAGATTCCCGGCGAAGTGCAAAATCTCGAACAAACATCTTAAGGGCATTTAAATTGTTTTCGTCTTTAGTTACGTTACACCTTTCCGATCGTCGTGAACGTAATTTGAATATATTTGACCAAAATTGTTAGCAAAGGCTTTATCTGACTATCCAATGGGATGTACCTACCTTTGCAAAGTTGATCCAGCAAGGTGTCCAGAGGATCAGGCGGGTCAGGTGGCTCTCTGTAGAAGGTAATATTGTTGAGGGTAGCCAGAGATGCGGTGGCCAGCTCCTCGCGCCGCTCTATCCAGCTGGGGCGCTCTTCGTCGTCTTCTTGGGGCTGTATGAAACCGGGTAAAACCTCTAGCATTAAAAAACCTGTATTATTCATATTATTAGTTTAAAATTGGAGTATAAAATAATGTCGGCCGTTTGGTGTAGTGGTTCAGAACGGACTACTATGTCGAGAAGTCCCGGGTTCGATTCCCGGCCGGGCAGAAATTGAAATGATGAATTTTAATTTCTGTGACGGGTCTGGGTGTGACAATGTATAATATTTATGTATTTAAAAAAAAAAGTATATAAGTAGTATATCCGTTAAGCTAGCACCCATAACACAAGCATTAAGTTGCTTACTTTGGGGCTAGCTGGCGCTGTGTGAAATTGTCCAAAGATTTATTATTATTATCTCTTTATCCAATTTCCTTCTTATTTTTAATATTTTTTTTACAATGTAAATTATAAAAAAAAACTAAAAATACATTATAAAAAAAATTCTTAAAAATAGTTAATCCGCTGGTAGCGGAGCAGGGCCCAGCTACCGGTGGTCAGGGTCACAGGCTGAGGAACCTCCGGACAATGCGTGCCGTGCTGAGGATCACCGCCTTTTGAATCTGACCCTTGAGCCAACCATCTAGCGAGAGCTTCTTAAGATGTTGGTCGAAGCTCTTCGCTATTAGCCCGTTCGCCGTTTATTAAATAAAATAAATAACGACCTTACTTTCAATGGCTGCTTTGGACGTGCGTTTACATACGGTGCGCTTTATCTCCCTATCTGTCTAGTGAGGCCATTTGTGCTCTCTTAGAAAAAGTAATTTAACGTCAGATAATAATATGATCATGGTCACTCACCACTTGTTCCATAGGTTTCTCGGCTAGTTCGAGGCAAGCCAGCAAGGCTTTGACGGTGCGTTCAGCGTGTTCCGCCGCGAGGCCCCGACCCGCCCGCTCGCACAGGCACAGGTTGGCTACCACTCGCACTGTCTATCATCAATTAATAAATAAAGAAGTAGGTAAGATGTTTGCTGTCCCTGTACACCACTTTCTTAAAATGTCAAACTTATTCTTATTGAATGAACAAATAGTTAATTATGCTGACACCATCTTACTTTGACTTTAACAAAAGTCATAAATTTGTCAAACTCCATACAAAAAGCATCGGTTATTGCTATAGTTACGGTTGTAGTTGTAGTAAGTTGGTGCATGTGAAAACTTGCTTTTTAAGCAACCAGAACTGGCTGTACGTACATTCTATGTTTTGATAGCTATATTTGAATGTGACTTTTTTACTGTTTGTTTAAATATCTGTCACTTTACTTAATTCTCTCTCTGAAAATACACGGTCTACCTCTCATCACTCTCTTCTTTTTCTTTAAATCTTAATTCTATCAGCACTCTGCACTTCTACTAGTGTTTCTAGTTCCTGTGCAACTCAGCCATATTGCTTACCTTTATTAGAACGTCTTCGTTGGAACCATCTGATCCACCCAAATCAGTGCCTAAAAAATTATTTAAATCATCAATCGAACTTCATACTTTTTAATGAAGTAAGTAAGTAACTACCCAAGTAACATTTTACTCCATTTAAGAGTTCAATAGTCGTTCACATGTACTCCACAAGCTGTGTATGTCAGCTGTATACGAGCTGTATAGCTTGCTATAATGCTTTTATAGAACCAGTTTGGGCACAAATTAGACAGCTTTAAGTTCACTATGGCTGTACATTAGCAGTATAATAGCATTATAATAGCAGTTTAAATAGTAACATCGTACTTAAGGCTGACTTACGGCACTATATGGGACGCAGTGTGAACCATACAACGTACGTGAGGACAATAAAGAGTAACAAGTGGCTAAATGCACAGCTTTCAAAGTTATAAAGTCCGACAAAAGTACTCCAATGCTACATAAAGTTCACGTGTGTCCTAAATTATTTCCACATTTTAATATTAGTTTGGTATTTGTACGTGAGTGCCAAGAGGAAACAACTCGGGCGGATAATATAATCATTTATGCAAATAATAACACGGGTTTTAAATACTTAATAATGTTAATGCCATTGGGAATGCAACTTTATCGTGAAATGTATACATATTTACAGCTAAAATATTTACGCGCCTCTGTAAAAACGCGATATTCATTTTAAAATATTTAAAACTGGCTGAGAGGAAATCTACAATTTTCAGTTTTTGATATTGTATTGGCATTATAATTATACTACGGTAATTAATTATANAGACGTAACGTGTGTATTTAGTAGTCACCTAAATAATAATTACCTACTTCTCTTTATGAAATCAAGCTTACCACACTGAAAGTGTGCACTTAGCCGAGCTCTACCTCCTATCTCCTATAGCTACGTACTCAATTCGTAGTAGAATAGTAGCATAGCGAGCGACCATTACTTTGTATAGCGCGCATTTTGCAGTATGTAGTTATCTCTTGTACTGTAGCCCTGCAGTTTGCATTTGCACTTACAATTTGTGTATTTAATTTTTCATTTAGAACTGGGCGTCTTTAACTGACTGACTCACCAATCAAGGCAGTAAGCGCGGCGGCCGCATGTGCCAGTTCCAGTAGCACCGCGCACGCCGAGTTTGCAGAGAGCTTCAGAACGTACCAAAGAAAATATCAGGGGTAAAAGATACATCAACTTACCAATGAAAGCGGCAAGCGCGGCGGCCGCGTGATACGCATGAGCTTCAGCGAGCGGCGCGTGCGTGTGCGCGTTCCATAACACGGCGCGTTATTATGTTGCATGGATAATATAGTGGTGAGCGAATTCCAAAGCTCTTGTACTGGTAGAGCGCGTTCCAAAGCTCTTGGATTGGCAGGTCGCGTTCCAAAGCTATTGGATTGGCAGCGTCGCGCTAATAAACTAAAATATCAACCATATTTAAGACACGTCATCAACTTACCAATGAAGGCTGCGAGCGCGGCGGCCGCGTGATACGCATGTGCTTGCGCGAGTGGCGCGTGCGTGTGCGCGTTCCACGGAGAGCGCGCGTTCCAATGCTCTTGGATTGGTAGCGCGCGTTCCAAAGGTCTTGGATTGGTAGCGCGCGTTCCAAAGGTCTTGGATTGGTAGCGCGCGTGCCAAAGCTCTTGGATTGGCAGCGTCGCGCTAATAAACTAAATATCAACCAAAAAGACACGTCATCAACTCACCAATGAAAGCGGCAAGCGCGGCGGCCGCATGATACGCATGAGCTTGCGCAAGCGGCGCGTGCGTGTGCGCATTCCATAACACGGCGCGTTATTATGTTGCATGGATAATATAGTGGTGAGCGAATTCCAAAGCTCTTGTACTGGTAGAGCGCGTTCCAAAGCTCTTGGATTGGCAGCGTCGCGCTAATAAACAAAAATATCAACCATAAAACACGTCATCAACTTACCAATGAAGGCTGCGAGCGCGGCGGCCGCGTGATACGCATGAGCTTGCGCGAGTGGCGCGTGCGTGTGCGCGTTCCACGGAGAGCGCGCGTTCCAATGCTCTTGGATTGGTAGCGCGCGTTCCAAAGGTCTTGGATTGGTACCGCGCGTTCAAAAGCTCTTGGATTGGCACTAATAAACTAAATATCAACCATAAAAGACACGTCATCAACTTACCAATGAAGGCTGCAAGCGCGGCGGCCGCGTGATACGCATGTGCTTGCGCGAGTGGCGCGTGCGTGTGCGCGTTCCACGGAGAGCGCGCGTTCCAATGCTCTTGGATTGGTAGCGCGCGTTCCAAAGGTCTTGGATTGGTACCGCGCGTTCAAAAGCTCTTGGATTGGCACTAATAAACTAAATATCAACCATAAAAGACACGTCATCAACTTACCAATGAAGGCTGCAAGCGCGGCGGCCGCGTGATACGCATGTGCTTGCGCGAGTGGCGCGTGCGTGTGCGCGTTCCACGGAGAGCGCGCGTTCCAATGCTCTTGGATTGGTAGCGCGCGTTCAGCTTAAAGCAAATAAGAGTAGTACTTGTGGACAAATAAACTGCTATTGATGTTAATGGACAACACATATAGTCCTTTTAACAGCCTACAGTGCACATGCGAACCATTGAAACACTTTTGTACAGATAGTAAAAAAAGGTTATTTTATTAACACAAACAAGTCCTACTACAGCTACTAGCTGTATAACAGTCTAAAACAAGTAAACATAACAGCCTTTGGCTTTATAAATGACCACGTGTGTTCTATTAAAATGCTAGCTCTATAACATCGTACAAGTAGGCCGTTAAACAGCGGTTGCCGTATCTCTACCCTCCTATAATGCTCTTAGTCAGACGGCTGACTAAAGGATAGTTGTTAGAGTATTATAACACCAACAATCGTATAAAAGTATAACTCTACACTAGTCTACACTCCTATAAGTCCCTTAGACAGGTATAGGTGTAATTAATTGCAATAATACAGCTTATACATCACGAGTGAACTGTACTAATGCTTTAAGTACACATTGGAACTAAATGTGAACTCTTAAATGGAGTAAAATGTTACTTGGGTAGGTACTTAACTTTGGAATCATTTGTGTTACCTATTAGATGTAGATCAGGATCAGAATCAGGGTCTCGCAGATCGTCGTTTCGTTTCGTGTAAAGCTCCAAGATCGTCAGAAGTACGTCCACGCTGCCTTCTTCATTGTAGATCTGAATGGGAATTTAGAATGGAAACATTGCAGTGAATCTTCGACTAATCCCAAAGAATCTCTGTCTGTAAATTCTGCCACACCCAAAACGGTGCAGTCCTGTTGTCCCCCCCCCAAGGGGGGGCCAACCAGGGGAGTTAACAGGACTGCACCCATAAAACAGGTTCAGCTGATTTGAAAATTATAATCATTTCATCCAGTGTCTAAGTAGCTCAGTTGGAATAGCAGTCGCCCGGCAAGCGGAAGGTCGTGGGTTCAATTCCCGCCTTAGGCAGTTCGATTTTTTCAAGTTACTTATTTATAATTTTCAAATTAGTTTGAGATGCGACTCTTAACTCTAAAAATTAAATAACTAAGGTTCAGCTGAGCTAGGATTCACGCCATGGCCCATGATAAAAGCTTATTGTGGTATTAATATCGATTATGACTAAGTACACTATGAAAGTATCGACTAAAATCGATAAAATGATTAAGTATATCGTGGCACGTCCTAGGTCTTGTAAGCTTACATTGATTCTCGCCTGGCGGTCGGCAGCGGCCATGTTTCCTAACGTGTACGCAAGTCTCACGGCCAATGGTGCGCGGGGAGCACACGCCGCTAGTGCGCGCACGCAAGCTCGTGCAGCGACGTGAGAAGCGCACAGCCACGCACAGCACGACTCTTCGGCTGAGAGGACGCTGAAAGAATTAAATCTATAGAGGCAATTGTAGACAAACGCAATGTTGCAGAATTTTTTCTGTCAAACAGCTTCACAAGGACTGCCCTTATGAGCTACTTATAAAGTAACGTGACACGATAAATTTTCAGAATTGTCGATTGCTTTCAATATAATCACGTAAAAAAACACTTAACTCGTGAATACGAATCTGTCACAAATTAATGTTACTTCGTCTAGAGGCCCATTTTGAGATCGACCAATTTCGTCTAATTTATGTAGGTATCCGATCAATAAATAGTTCGACTAAGTATTTAGTCTTATTACCTTAGACACCGGGCGACATTAGTCAGCACATCTCTGTCAGTATGATACATCAGCGCGTTGATCAGCTCTGCGAGGGCGCCACTAGCGACGAACGCCCGTGCCTCCTTTTCAGCTCCAGCTAGGTTGCGTAGAGCACCAGTCAGCTGGTACAGTGCATGTGTTGATTGTTCGGAAACTGCCCGCGGATTTTCAGCTTTCTAAATGGATACAAGGAGAGGATTCCATCAAATCAAAGTTTATTGAAATTCAAATAATACTTCTTTTTCTTAAAATTTTCTTGTTTGTCAATGTTGTAAACAAAATGCGAAAAAGACCATTGGATAACAAAATATTCAGCACCGTTTTATTAGAATATGTTCTGCCATGTGTGAACGACTTTCACTGTTGTATTTATATGGATGATTTCATCATCATTTCACACAATCACAAGCATCATCAATAGCATTTTGAATGAGAGTACTAATTAGGCAGTATTTTTGCTAATTATGTTGTTCTCACCGCATTATTGACGATCTTCAGGTGCAAAGCAGCCAAATGCAAGGCACCAGCTTTATGCGCCAGCGCACAAAGCCCGGGCTCTAACGCTAGAAAGCGCAGTGCTCCCGCGCCGTACACGCAGCATTCGCCTTCTGTCAGAGGATCAGCTCTGCCACAACCCTCGACTAATAATTCTAAAGAGAAACATAAATGAACATAACCTAACTGTAAAAAGGAAAACCGAATTTGTGTGACGTGTTGTAAAGGACAGTGCCAATCCATGTATGGAAGTTGGACCAAGTGCTGCCCAGAATGAAACCATAGTGCATTTTGTTCCTCAGGCCAATACTAATTTATAAACCGGAGCGCACTGAAATCTGTCCCTGGAGTCGAGAGAAAAAAAGAGTTTTGTTTTGAATTATTTACATACAAAATATCATCGATGTATACGTACTACGTATAAGATTTCGCGATTGTGGCATTAAATAACACTCGCTATGTTAAACTAGGTTAAACTTAACCAAACTGCATCCGTACAACTTACTTTAGTACGACTTCGACATTCTTTATAAGCAATCAAGCGCTGTTGCAGTAGTTTGGTTAGTTGACAGAAATTAATTATTTCCAAAATGGAGCAAGAAGTTTTAGCTTACAATAACTTCAATAATCGATTGTAATACACCAATAAATTGACTATTTGCAAGGATAGATAACTAAAACTTCTTACTTCATTTTGGAAAAAAATAATTTTTGTCAACTTACCAAACAATTAAAACAGCGCTAGATCGTTTATAAAGAATGTCTAAATCGCACTAAAGTAATGTGTACGGATGCAGTATGGTTAAGTTCAACATAGCGAGTGTTATTTAATGCCAAAATCGCGAAATCTTATGCGTAGTACGTATACATCGATGATATTTTGTATGTAAATAATTCGAAACTAAACTCTTTTTTTCTCTTAACTCCAGGGATAGATTTGAGTGCGCTTCGGTTTACACATTAGTATAGGCCTGAGGAACAAAATGCCCTATGGGTTGATTCTGGGCAACACTTGGTCCAGACCCTGGCACTGTCCTTTAGGGTTTTGTTGATCCAAATGAGAATTCAACGTTTTATTTAGGTGTATTTATAGCTTTACATAAAGTATACACATATTTTCAGGTAAAATTAAACTCGACTCAGCTAACATATCGCTTTAATTAAAGATTTTATCGGCATTCTGATATCGTTATATCAAAAGCCGTCAATACAGTACAAGGTCGTTGGTGACATTAACTATAAAGTTATTATTATTATGATCAATTTTCAACCCCATTATTATTAGTGGCCTAGTTTATTTTATCGCTCAATAGAATCAGAGTACCTAAGCCATAAAAACATCTTGTATAATTGAGCAGTCTTACCAAGTAAATTCGTGTTCCTAAAGAAATGATCATTCTTATCATTTCTTGCTATTTTGAAAACCAATTTGCTTGCTGCCGCTAAATTGGCTCCTGTCACTCGCATCTGGAGAAACAAAAAAATAATGAATTAAGCTGTTTGTTTTCCTTGAAGCAAATCAATTCTTCTTCTTATTTTAAATACTTACCGTAAGCATAGCTCTTGCAATCGCTACAAGTATTCGTTCGTCCTCAGCATCAATGTGCATGTACAAAGACCTAAGAACCAGTTCTCTAAGACTGCCGGCTGGAGGTGACTTCTCTAGGACGTTCTGCAAGGCTTCCATTATTAAGACTGTTCTTTCAACTGGCTGAGTGCGTTCGGACAGTGCTTCTGCTAGTTCAAGAACGCTGGCGCTGTAAATAGTAACTAAGTATATAGGTTTTATTAATTTCACACATTTCAGTGGCCTTTCAAATCAATCAGTGTTTTTCTTTAACAAACATTTCATCAGATACCTAAGACGTTAAAGATCTCATGACGTGATTGGTCATATTAGAACGACACGCAGAGTCCCATACAAGTTACTATGGGCGGGTGATATTTTTGACGACCATGCGCAGCTATTTCCATACAAAGTTGTAAACTTGTATCTTTTTTGTTTCCAGTCCGATTTAAATACTAGTTTTTCAGAAATTCTATGATTTAACTAAAGTATTTATATAAACATAATTTATTAACTTTTAAAATCGCTATTATGTCCAGAATTTCAGTATTCCAGAAAAGATACACCGAGAGACAAGAGTATTTCATAGATAAGCCACTAAAACAAACTTGTTACCTTTCGAGATCCGTCGCCGATGTATTGGGCAACTGCACAGCTAAATGCTTGACGGCTAAGTCGCCCAATGGGTCAGCTTTATGGCTAGCATCATAAGACACCGATTTGTTGCCGGCAAACTGTTTCCTCTTCACATTACTTTCAGGGCCTAGGGCTGAAACATCTTGCATGTAAGAGACAAAAAATGTCAAACAATATGCCGTGGACACTACACTAAGGTTGGATTCGACCAAACAAGAGTCAATATTAATCTCAGAATAAATCGTCAGTTTTGACATATTTCCCATACTGAAACTGTCAATGTGCCAGTTATACTAGGAGTTATTCTCGGACAAAAGTTTGGTCGAATCGGGCCTAAGAGGCAATACAAAAAAAATATCCAGGATTTTGGAATAAACCAAGTTATCCAATTATAAAGTCTTATTTTAGCAATAAAAGTTTACCAAACTTACATTTATAAGTGTTACTGTCTAGAGCCATAGCGAAATTAAGGTCTCCATCAGTTCCTCCTAATGGACGTGTTACTGAAATGGCATGCGCTAATTCTGTCTCCGCTTTTAATTCTGAAATAAAAGTATCCTACAACATCGCAATATAAAATTTCCTTTCTTAAGTTACTACTTACTCTACTTTATTTTTTGCTGCTATAGCTGTGATAGTTTCGTCAATTAGGCATTCTTTTTCTTTGGCATAGGTATCCACTATCCATTCATAAAAAGATGGTTTATTAAATCGTAAGAATGCCTAAAAAGATTAGTAGAATACTCACCATCATTTACATGCCCTGTGGTGTTCCTGCGGTGCAGTGGTTTGGCCCGCCCACTAAGATGAGGAAGTCTTGTGAAACCACTCCACCCATCGCCAGACTGCATCGTCTTTGCTTGTAAATTCCTCAGCTGCTAATAAGCATTTTTAATTAGTTAGACGATGTTTTTAATTAGGTCCTTTCTTTTCTCTCAATGGAAAATGTAGAGTCTTAAAATCTTTAACGTTCTATCGTGATCTCTTTTAGAAGTTATCGAAGTATTCTGTAGTTCTCACCGTGGTTTTTTTCTTGCCATTGCTCTGTGGTTCAGTAAGTAGGATCCCGTTTAGTCCCTCTTCATCAAGGCTGGCAATGCGGGCTCCCAGCACAGCGGTGGTCATCTCTTCTGTGTTCTCTGACAAGCTGAGGTACTTGAGACTGAGGGCGGGAGGACCGGGGAGTTACAAAAGACATAGTTTTAAATATTCGCGTATATGAGTTGAAAACTAGTTGACGCTATTAAAGCAATTTAGAGCCCAAACCACCTTCGATAAAACCTAAGATGAAAAATGATACGTGCGCAGCGGCCTTATAAGTAGCGCGGCGCGCTTACTACGCTATAAGTATTTGTAGCTTGCGACAAAGTACCCAAAAGTTTGGTTGATACCTATCGCTCACAGGTTTTCAAAAGTACAAATTAGCTGAGATAACGTGTCATGTCGAACGTTTTATCGAACAACAGTTTTCCGCGACAACGCGAACAAAATTCGGATTGCGTGAGCTTACTCTGCGGTTTTCCACAAGGCATTTAGGTAGGGTAAACCGACAGTTATTGGGCGCTGCCAATCATTGGACAAAACGCCCTTTGAATGTCCATAAAATGAATGAATACTTATTCCTTCAAATGCAAATTACAACTTAACGCCCTTTTAACTCCATCAGTCGGAATCTCTTAGATGTTGAAATATAAATCCTATTTTTAATTCAATAAATAACTATCCAATAACTCCTTTAAGTGTCCAATGACTGGCAGTTTACCCTACTTCTAACTAATTTAATTTTGCATAGTTCTTTAGGTGAACATTGGATAGTTCTGTATACGAACATAGTTCGGTAGTTCTTTGCACTTACTCAAACGCGCTGGGCGGGCGCGGGTCCTTCGTACGCGCGCGCTCGGCAAACAGCGTGCGCTGCGGCTCGCGCGGCGTGAACGGTCGCCGCGTGCGTAGAGGCCGCAGCGCGCCGCCCGACCCGCTGCCGCCGCTCATCTCTGAGGGACAGCAATAAAATCGGACCCGGTTTCGGAATTGAGATTTTTTGCTTGCGTCAATGGCAATTCAGAAACATGGGAGAAATATTCGAAAAGATAATTACTCTATGTTTTACTGACAGAAAGAATAAGGGTCTCTGCACACCCCTTTTTTCAGGCGCCGTCGACACGCGTTATATGCTTTCGAGACAAAAAATACGATGTTTATTTTATTGCATAATTTTAGATCAGTACTAGTTAGTGCATGTGACGCCTGAAAAAAGCGTGATGTAAGTGTACATGGAAATCAATATAAATGACGTTATTTTAAAATATACATAGAAAAAAAGGATATCAACCACTTAGAAGAGACGAAGACGACCATACCATACTATACCTTATTTGAAACACCGTAAAAAAGTCAAAAGTCAAAAGTCAAAATTTTCTTTATTTGTTTAGACTAATAAATAGTTCTTACAAATCGTCATTTTGCTCTTAAGGAGCCTCTACATGTCTCATAATCTTTTTACCCTACCAGCGCTTCGAGACCAACATTTGGCAAGTGCTGAGAAGAAGCGCCGCAACAAACTCAGTCACCACTGTCTGCCGGTTAATATAAATAAATAGAAATAGCAGTAGTAGGTACATTCGATTCAGGAGCAGTTCACTGAATTTACCATGCAATCTTGTATAGTGTATCTTATAAGAATGGGTATACAAAATTGCGTGGTTTATTAAACAAGGTAGTGACGTGCTAATATCTAGACTTACAGATAACACACTTAAATACTAGTAGAAATGACTCGCATACATAAATTGGAATAACTTGGATTGACCAGTCCCCGAAAGCAGCGCCTGTTCACAGACATGACGAGTGAACCAGCCATCGCTTCACTCGACCATATTAGAGGGAATGTAACGAAATTAATTGTGAATAAGATGATTTCATTTCATACTTAATTTATTAATTTGTAAAAATAGGGTACAATGTTGTATATTAATTGAAACCCTATTAATTATTACGTATTTTTGACGGTCCTAAGCCCGTAAAGTAGAAAGGAAAATCTGAAATCAACTGAAGAGTATTTTAAAATAGTTATTATGACTGGATAAAAAGGCTGGTACCCAGAGCCATAAAATTAAGAACTAGGCCACGCCCACTAGGTTTATTCCACTTGCATCTGTAGAACGTGCAAGACAAAATTGGTTTATTCCAATTTGTACTGAAAAACCAAATTTACTAAAATCTTAGTGTACTTTCTTTATGGGAGTCTCTTGTTTATCTTAAATAATAGGTATTGTTCCCTACTTTTATCTCTGTGAATATGGCAAGAATGCAAAGTAACACGGTGTATAACAAATCGACGATCTGTTCATCATCATCATCTCAGCCATAGGACGTCCACTGCTGAACATAGGCCTCCCCCAATGCCCGGTTGGTAGCGGCCTGCATCCAGCGCTTTCCTGCTACCTTTATGATGTCGTCGGTCCACCTTGTGGAAGTTAACCGGAAAAGATCTGTTAATCATAACAAATTAAAAAGCTGTTCCTTAGATTTTTAACTGCTTCACTATGCAGTTTAGCGTCGCTTTGACCTCTACGGTTCAAATTTTAGGCACGTGAAATCTCACGCCCGTATTCACAAACGATGCTTGCTTAAGTGACGTGAAAACGAACGCACAGCGTTGAATAGAGCTCTGTGATTGGTTCGTGTTGTACGTCCACGCGCACTGTGAGACTTCATAGTAATGTTTGTGAATAAGGGCGTCACTATACTCTAAACTATTGCCTGCTAAAACAAAGTGCTTTAACCTGACAGTAGAAAAGTGGGTTATGTCAATTTAGTAAATTGTTTGTGTCGTAATTGGATTGTTCCAGATAAGGAGGCGCCATGAATGTTACAAACAAGTAGACATGAAACGTGTCTTAGTATGGCACTATGCCAAAGAATCTTTTTTTTTTTTGGGATTATTTACTTCAGTTGATGGTGAGGTCATAAAGATAAGAGAAAGTAAAAAAAATACTTTAAAAGTAAATGCCAAGTGTAATTTTAACAATATTAGATGTTTCAAATCAAAAATTTCTAATGCAAGGTGATTAATAAGTAATCAAAACCGTCATTGGATCACAAAAAGGGCAATAGAAACCACATTGATTAGATTTTATGCAAAAACAAGTGACTGTTTAATTGCATGCTATTTTCTTTAAGATTCTTCATGAGTATTTCGCGTCTTATTTAGTTACTATGTTAAAAAATGTGGAAAAAATCGCCCATGACGGCTTGGACAATCTCAATCAGTCGCGCGGTGGCGCTTACGGAGGAAGGACGCGTGCCAGTTTTTTGGCCGTGACAGTTCTCGATATGTCAATATTTTTGACAATGATGACTTTGATGAGTCACAGTATAATAATACCAGTGTTACTGGAGGAAGCTAAAATTTTTGATAATTAAGAATTCTAAATTTTGTCTACCTATTGAAATTTAAATCGTTGGCATCCTTTTAAACTAAGACTCTACTCATGATACATTCCTCAAATATGAGACAAAACCAATGAGTTAAAATTACATTTTAATAGTACCTACATACAATCGTCTTCACTCTTTAGAAGAGCACACTGACACAAATAAATAATAAAAAATTAGTTAAATATGATGTTTTACCTCATTTTACCCATGTTGATAGATGGCGTTTCACGGTTTCCCCCGAATGAATATTTACGAACGTCATACCGTAGTTTGTCCAGTGCTGTAGATTTTAACCAATGACGATAGATGGCGCTTTTAGACACGTCTTATTTATTTATTGAAATTTATTTGCCACATATCGTCATAATGTTAATCTGGGTTATAAACAATAATACTGTAAAGTTTCAACAAAATCCGTTCAGTAGTTTTTGCGTGAAAGAGTAACAAACATCCAGACATCATGACATCCAGACATCCAAACTTTCGCCTTTATAATATTAGTAGGATATTTCACAATCCAAACTAATATTTACTATTTAGCATTTACTTACAGTAAATATTAGTTTGGATCGTGAAATATTTAAAATAAAAAAAAGAATAAAACAAAATAGGGTTTCAAATTACCTATCTATAATCTAATATTATAAAGAGGTAAAGTTTGTGTGTTTGTATATTTGTTAAATTGTAAGGGGTAATCTCGGGATCTACTGAACTGATTTTAAAAAATCTTTCACCAATAGAAAGCCACATTATATCTGAGTGTAATAAGTTATATAAAAACCAAAAAATTCCACGCGGGCGAAGCGGCGGGCGGAAAGCTAGTTTATTTATAATTATGTAAGAGCATAATTATTAAAGTCGAAGTCAAACATTCTTTATTTGTGTGGACCTATATTAACGAGAGATTACAAGAGATTACAAGGCGTCAAATATTTCAAGAAAAAAATTAAAAACTATTATAAAGCTAAATTTTGCTCTCATGGAGCCTTTACCTACTCTGACAAATTAAGACTTAGAGAAGAAACTAATAATAAAACTATTTAACTGTCCTGCAATGAAAAGCTTGATCGGGTACAACACCTCAAGTTATTTCAGAACTTGATTTCATTAAAAGACTCCGAATATCAAATCGCTTAGGTATCTAAAGTCAAACGATTCTGAAATGTCAAGTGGACTAATGAATAACCCATTAAGATAGTAGCGCCCTCCTGTCAATGACATACCTGGAACGATAGAGTTTTGAACAACTAATAAAAATGCTTTGTCCTAAATGACTGACGGATATCGTAGAGACCTGAAAGTTGGAAGGTGTGTTCTTTTTATGACGTAGGCATCTCATAAGAAAAGATTTTCCGAAATGGGGTCATGAAATGAAGGGGGTGAAAAAAGGGGGCAAAGTTTGTATGGGACAAAGTGATTCCTTGGTTCAATCTACTTGAAATTTAGTTTAACAATACCTTAATATAATTCATGAAAGACGTGTGGAACGGGTAGAAAGTAATTTTGGCAGTCATTTTCTTCGAAGTTGATATCAATACTACTTAGTGCCTTTGATTTAATTACTTTTTATTTTTACAAGTGTTTGAAAACTCCATTTCAGATTGTGTTCAATGTCAAGTGAAATCTCAAATTGAAATGTCTCAATCTCAATGAGGAGACTCTGTATTTATTCCTAGAATTCCCCAAACACCGTCAAATTACCCTTTCGAATTCAAGACAGTGCAGTTTCCCATCAGTCTGCTTCGTAATGACTATAAACAAAGCTCAAAGTCAAACTCTAGGGACCTCTGCTTAAACTCCCATGAGTGCACAGAGGTACGCAGGTAACCGCGTGTGATGCTTATAGCAATTTTCGATAGGTACAGAACCCCGTACATACGTCATACATATTATAGAAAGAAAACACCCAGACCAATACAAACAAATATGTTTCTGCAATTTTAGTATGATATTTTTATTTATTAATAAACAAAGAGACTGAACAAAATTGATGCGTACCTATACTGATTAATGTTATTAACCACATGCAAAGCTTCGTGAATTGCAACAACTATAATTAAATTTATTATCCAAGCTCTAAATAATCGCTACTAAGAGTAACTTATCATAAAAAAAAATTCCAATCGCTCAAGCTCCCAAGGGCCTACCGATAGGTCGGGTGACATAATCTTGAAATTCTTTAAGCCGGCGCAGAACTTCCAGAAGGTCGGGCGACGCCACGGCCACTTTGAACAGTGTTTACTTCTGCAGTTATATTTTATATTTATTCGATTCTAGAATATATTCCCAAAAAGTCTGAAAGGTGTTTTAATTTGTATCACTTGGATATGATTTCTATTAGAAAGTGTTGTGAGTGTGACGCTTGAAGGGAAGGAAGTCAACCTAACCTAACCAACTGCGTATTTCTATACTGTGTAGCTGGAAATTGTGGCGGGAGCTCTTTGACGCGCTGTTTTCGGCGAAGAATTGCGCGCGCAGATTTTGACAGCGCGAAATACCTACTTTAGAAGAAATACCAAGCCTTAAGTGACGTGAAAACGAACGCACAGCGTTGAATAGAGCTCTGTGATTGGTTCGTGTTGTACGTCCACGCGCACTATGAGACTTCATAGTAATGTTTATGTATACGGGCGTCACTATACTTATTGTCTAACTACATTGCCTGCTAAAACAAAGTGCTTTAACCTGACAGTAGAAAAGTGGGTTATGTCAATTTAGTAAATTGTCTGTGTCGTAATTGGATTGTTCCAGATAAGGAGGCGCCATGAATGTTACAAACAAGTAGACATGAAACCTGTCTTAGTATGGCACTATGCCAAAGGATCTTATTTTTGGGATTATTTACTTCAGATGATGGTGAGGTCATAGAGACAAGAGAAAGTAAAAAAAATACTTTAAATGCCAAGTGTAATTTTAACAATGTTAGATGTTTTAAATCAAAAATTTCAAATAGGCAAGGTGATTAATTAAGTAATAAAAACCGTCATTGGATCACAAAAAGAGCAATAGAAACCACATTGATTAGATTTTATGCAAAAACTATTTTCTTTGTGCTTTTTCTTGCGATTTAATGATTGTTTTGTCCGAACCACTTTGACATTGTCTTACATCTTGGTATTTTAAAATGAAATAACGATGAGTAACTAAATTAATGATCAGCTGTTGACAATCTGCCTACACTAATGGGTTACTTAGTCATGAATTTCGAAGAAACGTGCCTAAGCACGCTATCAAGATAATAAAAGCCAAGTTTGGCCTTACTTTTTAAGAATTATGTTCAAATTAACTGTGGTGCTGGGTGTTTATGGTAATTACCGCTTAATACTAGCTTTTCATTTCGAAGGCAATATTATAATTAACAATATTTTCCGTTTGATGCTGTCTTCGTAATTTTACGGCTAAAAATTTGTAGTTTGTAAACCAGTGATTTGACTTCAGTTGTAAAAACCCACCCGACTTATTATGTTTCAATTAGTTAACTAGATTTGGTGTCGTGAAAAAACGATTAGCCTTAATAATTTTAATTCTATAGTAAAAGTTTACTTTAAAAGACGTACTTTTGCTAAACATAAAAAAATGATGATACCGTCAAAAATTTTACAATTTATTGATTTATTAATGTTAAAATATTAATTACTAGCTGACCCGGCGAACTTCGTACCGCCTTAGCGTAGAGATTTTCTTAATATTTTTTTCCGTAAGAACCATCCTTGGACTTCCACAAACATTTAAAAAAAAGAATTATCGAAATCGGTTCAGCCGTTCACACGTGATGCCGTGACAACGCGAAACGGGTTTCATTTTTATATATATAGATTACACGTATGACTTACCTTAAAGTTATAAAATTTTAAGGAACGTAAAACGGGAAGAGTTCATAACGGTCGCTTTATTAATTTTCTTCACTAACATTTTGGCGCGAACGCAGTCAAAAAACAAGCACAGAAAAAAAACACTGAAAAAAGTTCCACCTCCGAAGTTTGCTACACCCACTGAAAAAAGAACGAGCGTCGTGCTACGCGAGCCCCTCGCTCGCTACTACCGGGCTACGGTCTACGGTGCTATCCGGGCGCTACTGCGTCGTAGCATCGTAGCAAGCTCGTAGCGAACCACAGTTTATGGTTTCATAGAAAAGTCCTGTCATCATTAAATTAAAGCTGGTGGTATTTTTAGCGGCTTTAGGTTTTGAATTAAAAATGAATGTTTATTCAAATGCAAAATAAATGCTCTTTGTGACTTTGTGTCAAAATTCTTTAGAAATAATTAAATAAACTTTTTTACTACTTTTGTTAGCTAAAAGCTTACGTTTAACCGAATTAAATAATTTTTGTAAGTTATTAGTAAAATTATACACATTCCAGAAAAAGCTCGGCTTATTAATAGCTTTTAAATTAAACCGTTGCCTGTTTTCAATTAAAAAGATAAAAGAAGCATGATTATGTGGCCGGATATTTGGAAGTTACGAGACAATTAATTAATTTCGAGTGCATTTGATGATTGACGTCACAGAATATTTTTAATAATGACGTCATGTAATTAAATTGTGTGATAAAATGAGTGCAGTCGTCGAGAGCACCTGAGCTACGATATCGATCAATGATTAAGTAATTTTCTTATAAATTGGTAATCTACATAATTAATCAAATTGCTAGTTTCACATATAAATATTAATGTATGCAGAACCCGTGCAAATGTATAATATTATTCGCGAACAGCATACGGAAATGTTTTCTGTTACTATTTTTAAAAAACCTTCGAAGAAAGTAAATTAAAAGTGCGCGATTGTATTAGTAATCCTTGAAATATTATAAAATGCTATAGGATTTCGTTATTTCCTATTTCCGCGATTAAATGTATAATATGTAATTGACTTGTTTACTTTGAAAGCTTATTTTTAATATTGTGGTAACAAGTCTTATCAATCGATTGGCCCGGTTTGTATACACGAGTTTGCCATGGCAACAGCGTGGAAACATTCTTTGATTGTGATTTAACTATAGGAAAATACCGTGGCATTGCGCGGCTTATTTTTATTTCTTTGTTGGGTCATAGTAAAAAATATTGGGAGAACTCTCATGAGGAACAGTTGTTGACCTTACGAATGGTTATTGGATTTCCATAAGACATAACATTTCAAAATAAAAACAGAACATACACTCAACATCAAATAAATTTTTTAATTTAGGATTTTCTTCTGACACAATTTATTATGGTGCCCCAACAATATTAGTGTTATTTGAAAGCCCAATAAATAAACTTAAAGAAAAACACATTTAATTTTTTTATAAACAATTAACAGGTAACATACTTAAATATGACTTGATAAAAGGCCTCACTTGGGGCTCACTTCTGGGACCAATTAGACCAATTTTTGTGGTTAAAAAACCAAAATTATAATGATCTCACGTGTCCTCTTTAACAGATGGATAGCGATTAATCCCAATTTAATAGTTTTATAGCCATAAAAGTTTACTCAAGCGTAAACTACACCAGTTGTTTCTAGTGCGCATACATCCGCTATTACAGTGTCGTCTGTGACTGTCACTTGACACTGCGATACCATCTGTTTCTTTAAGAAGAGACTGGATCATTCTAAGGACACATTTTTTTGGGGTAAAACCTTTCCTTTAATGAAATGAAGTTTAGAACTAGGCTTTCAAATGTTACCAATATTGGTGGGAAGTGGGGATGTATACGTTTGAAAGTGCTTGTCGCGGGAAGTGCGATTTATTTGATGTCGAGTGTATTTCGCTTTGCTAAATGTAGGTTCATGAAGAACTTATTGTCGATAGCATATTGGATATGGCTACTATTAATCTGATTTTGATCATTTTTAATAAAAGCAAGGTTTGAGTGACTGACTTTGAGGTTAACTGTAGGTAGGACTACTAAAAATAAGTTCAGTTCTATCATACTTCGGAGAACTTTAATTGCCTTTTTATACAAGGAACAAAGCTGGTGCTGTGAAAGAAGCTTCCATACAGCTGTTAATTTCGAAGCATACTTTTTTAATAAGTCAAGTCATCAAAGTCATGGTTCCCACCGCACGTTAAGTCGGTATACTTGCCGCTAAAAGTTGCTAACACTAAGCGGCTGCTATTATTATGCAAAAACATATAATATGCGAATACTTGGCTACACACATTGCGATAGCGCTTAATCTTTGGGTTATCGTGATGTGTGCGGCCCAGAGGTAACACTTCTGATGTGCTGGCCGGAATTAACGATCTTTCTAAATACGAGGAAACGGATTCATTATTCCGCTCGCAGTGGCAGTGGAAAACAGGCTTTACTGATCTTACCGTACTAAGGCTTACCTTGCCAGTCATGTTACAATTTTATTTATTGTTGTTTATAACACTTTGAAATCCTCACTAAACTGAAATAAAATGATGCTAATTTAAAATGTTCAGACTAGAAGAATATTATTATTTTTAAAGCAATTTTACTATTTTTTAACTGTTTTGACTGATGATGACAACAAACTGGCATTTGGTCGCGAAATGAAAGAAAGCTATGAAAGAAAGTCATCATTATTACAAAAAAGTTTTTAATTTATTTTTATCCGTCTATGATAGTTCTTCAAAAACCTACGCGAACACTGCGGGCACGCGGGAGGCGTGAAAAAGCTTGGGTTCGGAGCACAGTTATGTGGTTTGGAGAACGGCCGCAAGCTCGCACGCATAAGCTCACAGACAGCGAGCCGCAAGCGTGCGGGGATGCGGACGACGAAATGCAGCATGGTTTGTGAGCTTGTCCTGAAAAACTCGCGCTGTTTTTATGGTTATGATCCCTTACCGAAGTGATAAGTGTGCTTCGTCCTTTATTGTTTTTTTAACTAAAAGTTAAATGGCTAAATTGAAATCTTCATAGCCGTAAACTGTGTAAAAGAGAACAATCTGTCAAAGTTCTCAAAGTTGTCATTTTAGTTGACATTGACAGTTGGCATGATGTTTGCTGTTGTTTGCAAAAAATGCTATTTGCCTGTTTTCTGTTATTATTTTAAGTTTTCAAATCAAGTGTGGCTTATAGACATGGAGTCATTTATATTGTTCTTCCAAAAATGCAGGCTTTGTCTAGATGAACCTGGCGCATACAACATATTTGCTAAAGATGAACTTCCGCAAGACATTTATTTGTGTACTGGAGTCAAAGTGAGTAAGAATCACGTTTTTTATAGATTATGAGCATGTTCCGATAGCACTGCGAGCACTGGTCAGTGCTCCATACCCACAAGTGTGAGCACTGAGCAGTGCAGCAGTGATTTCAGTGATAAATCGGAATTCACTTTAGGTCACTCATAGGTTAGAATTATACCTGACATTGTTTCAGGTCCATCCAACAGACAACCTTCCTCAAAAAATATGTGAAAAATGTTCCAAAGTGATATCCAGTGCCAAACAACTCAGAGAAACTGCGACCCAAACAAACGAACATCTAAGGACACTCTTCCATGATGATTCTGACGATGGTGATAAAGTAAGAACCACTTGAACTATCGTGTGTATCAGGCCTTTATTGTCAATTTAGCAGTAGCCTTTTCAGACAGTTCTGTTACTTTTTAAGTGAAATAAAGTAAGTCATTTATTTATCTTTAAACTTGACTATACATACTTTCATGTGTGAGCATTACTAAAGACTAGTGTTACAAGTTTATAATTATTATGTATTCCAATATTACCTCACTTAGGTACCATTTTATTGTTGCTACATTATTATTTTCTGACTTCAATATTTCATTGTTTTCTCTCTTTCAGATTGATAAAAGCAATGAAAATATTATAACTGCTTCAAATAACAGTCTGTCAAGCACTACGCAAGATCAAACTTCAGCTAAGAATGATGATGTAAGTTGTAAAATTAAAACAATGATTTGTATTTCTTTAGGTTCTCTGGAGTGGCTGTATCTTTTTCTTGTTTGTATTAAAAAATAATTTAATCTTTTCTAACAAAGTGACTGTTAAACTTCCATGTAATGAGTTTGTATGGTAAGACCATAGACTTATTATAGCACATTGACAGTGTGATCAATATTCTGGCTCTACACAATATGTGAGGAATAATTTAGTATGGGTCAATAACAAGTTATGAAGTCCTGTTGTTCTGTTATATTAGTAACCCACTCCTTGGTTTTCAGAATACTTCAAACAAGCATGCAATAACTGTAAGAAAAGATTTATTTGAAAGAACTGTGGTAAGAGATACTTAATGTAAACTTATTTAGTTTCACTTTAATCTGTTTAAATAAATAATAATAAATCTTTGGACAGCTAGCCCCAAAGTAAGCAACTTATATGCTTGTGTTATGGGTGCTGTTTAAATTTTCATAATACCTACTTAGTTACTGATTTTTGTTGAATGTTAATTATTTGAATCAGTAACTGTAGTAGGAATTTTATAGGCCACCATAAACTTCCACTGATCATCTGTGCAGCACTTTTTGCTGCCAGTATGCTATTCTTAGTAAGTTACTGACTGCTATATCTTCTTACCTGTTCTCTAATCTGTATTTTTAGATATATTTACATTGTCTAGACTGTTCGTTTGTTTTGTCGATGGTTGAATACCTGCTTCTATGGATGGTTACAAAGGAAAACAAATATCAACATAAGTTTTAATATGTCTAATAATTACTGAGCCAGAATTGTCAGTGGATTAAGGTTTTAAAACTAACCATTTTGAATTTTTTTATCTATTAATGATTACTCTACGGGTATTGCAATTTCAGAAAAAATATAGACTGGTATGTTTATTTTGAGCACCTTATTTTTATTATGCGTTCTATTTTTTACAGATATCATCGAGCATACCTCAATTTAATTCAGAGCACAACGAATCAAGAGAAAAAAGAAAATCTACATCCAAAAGAGCTAAACTTGACAGCACTACTAGTAGCAGTGTCATAGCATTTGATTGTACTGTAAGTATTTTAAGAGTACCTATCAACTACATAATCCTACTAATCTAACTTCACGCAAAAACTACTGAACGGATTTTAATGAAACTTTACAGTATTATTGTTCATAGCCCAGAATAACTTATAGGCTATAATTATGATGATCTGCGACAAACTAAATTTCACGCGGGTGAAGCCGCGGGCAAAAGCTAGTAATTATAATTTAAAATTCCATATAGCCTAACTTTCTATGAAACAGCAAACCGTACAGCGATTTTATCGAATCAAAATTGATAACGAATATTAAATTACTAGCTTTCCGCCCGCGGCTTCGCCCGCGTGGAATTTTGTCTGTCACAGAAAAACTTTATCGCGCGCGTCCCTGTTTCAAAAACCGGGATAAAAACTATCCTATGTTCTTTCCCGGGACTCAAACTATCTCTATGCCAAATTTCATCAAAATCGGTTGCGAGGTTTAAGCGGGAAAGCGTAACAGACAGACAGACAGAGTTACTTTCGCATTTATAATATTAGTTGGGATTGTATCAATTATAGCATTAACATTGCAATTCTGTTTCAGGAATGCTCAAAATCGTTTGAATCATGGAAAAAGTATTACCTACACAAACGTATGCACAATAAAACTATTGTGTGTCCGCTCGAAGCCTGTGGGAAAAAGTTCGCGATCAAAGGGGACCTGGAGAAACATTTCCGCACCCACACTGGTGAAAAGCCTTTCAAATGCAACACTTGTTCCAGAAGCTTCTCTCAGAAATGCAGCCTTAGGAGTCATATCCTCAATGTTCACGGAAGTGATGATGATGATGATGATGACGATGATGATGATTGACAGATAAGTGATTTATGGAACTTCAGATCTGAATCAGGAGCGATCCTAGATAAAAGCCGAATAGTATTTTTATCCGACTGCGCCAGAAGAAGTTTTTCGATTATATATATTTCTTTGGCACGGCCTACAGCCTAAACGGCTTGACCGATTTTAGCGTGAGAGGTGTCATTTAATTCGTCTTGTGAAAGTGACACTGGCTATATTAAATTAGAAAAAATCTAAATGGTGATTTTAGGCGCATTAATCTTTGAAAAGATATTTTTTTTTCTCAAAACATATCGAGTGACATATCATAACATATCAAAATAAAGGGCTTTTTAAGTAGCTTACAAAAATGTACGTTATTTAACTAAAGATTAAAATGAAATTATTATTGAATAAATGCGTAAAAATGAACTAAAAAGATAATAAAAACAAGACAACTCAGCCTTAGGTTCACAAATGCAGTCGGAGGCATCAAATACATATCACCAACAAAATAATTAGTCATTGATGCCTCCGACGTCATTTGTGAACACTAGGGCTGAGTTGTCTTGTTTTTAATTATCTTTTTGGTTCATTTTTTTATAATTTTAGACGCATTTTACCAACGTGTTCCGTCAATTGAATCAAAAACTATTAATGTGACCATTAAGTTGTGAATATAAGTAAAACTTGCAATGGTAGATCAGATACAGAAGCTTAGTGAGAAATTGATATTATTTCTTTAAACCGCATCAAAATCCGTTACGTAGTTTTAAAGATCTAAGCATACAGGGACATACAGCGTAAAGCGTATACTTATAAGTTGTAAAAACAGAACGGGGGCGTGGATTCTCTTACTCTGGTTCAGTTTCTAGTATCTGTCAGAATGTATTTAGGCTGTTTATGTGATAACTGCGTCATGGACATAGTTTAAGGACAAAATATAGTTTGTACTAAAAAACCTCATGGCTGTCTAATGTGTGAAATTACTCAATGTATATTTTTATTATGTAAACGGAGTATAGGTAATTGAAGTAGGTAACTAAAAAAAAAGTTAATATTAGTTTGGTTTTAGCTTTTGAAAACTATCATAGCTGCATGCTAACATAATATGCCAAAAAACTACAATACGACATTGTTCTGCATGTCGTCATTACGAAATTAAATGTACAGTCATGAACAATTTTAAGCGTAGTTCCTAAATATTTTTTTACAGTCATATTATTTTAGGCTTTTTTTTATCTGATCATAATCACCGTCCAGTATTTAAAGTACTTAATCATCTTCTGGGTTTTGAATGAGGTTTGACTCCGATACCAGCGACAACACGCAGTAGAGACGAGAGAGCATAAAATCCAGTGGCAGATTTACCAATGGGCTAGTATTTAAATATAATGCAATATTTTCCACTCCTAAAAAGTTACGCGTTTCACTCTCGTGCATTGCTGGTGACGGATTCAAACCTTTAGGCCCAGAACAGACGGTGAAACGCAACTGCAACGAAACTGCAACTGCTAGTTACTTTTGAGTTGCATCTAAGTTTCTGCCATAGCGTCCGTTGAGAGACCACACATGACGCGACCAGTTTGAAACTTTCAGTTTCATTCATCAGAAAGTTGCAGTTGCGTTTCACCGTCTGTTCTGGGCCTTAGGCTTTATCATTAAACAGGAATTTAACTGGATTAGCTCTTAAGACTAGGCAATAAGGTTCAAAAGGGCATGTGATAATTTCCCATTATGATTATAGTCTGTCTAGTCAGCAAAAGCTTAAACCTTACTATGTACACTTGAATCTGTTGTGGTATAGCATTGGGAAAGAGTTATATTTTTAACGTCGAATTTTAAAATAGCTTGGCCAACTCTATTCAATGGTGTCCAACGTCTCATTTTAAGTTTTTAAATTATCAAGCATTATGACTATTTTGTTTTACACTAAGTAACTTCTTTATTTTTAACTTTACAGAGTGAAGTAAACGTACATCAGTACTACCTACTGTTAGATTTTTAAAGTTAAAAAACATTTTATACTTTTTAATGTGTACCAGTTTACTTAAAATTTTATGCTGACATCTGAAAAATCTAAACTTATACGAAAAAGGTATAATATGTTGTATTTTAACATATTTTAAAAATATGTTTTATCAAAATACTGTCTTATCACTTTTGGACATTTGAAAATTGCATGAATTGTTCATTTTGAATATTGAAATCAAGGTACTGATAAAAATACCACCTTTAGCATAAGTTCAGTCTGATTTTACGATACTATGTATCTACAATTCTACATACTATTAAATAAAACATTTTTGTAAATAAATAAGATTTTTATTTTGGTAAATAGCAGATATAAGTATTTACAAGTTCCTTTACAATAAGTAAATTAGATATAATTATATTACATAAATACAGGTAAGAGGAGAGGACAGTCACAATATTATTATTTATTTTTATATCTTTATCACATAACATAATATCTTAATTAAAATGTTCCTCTTCAATCTAGGTTTGTTGTTGAAATCCCATCCTATGCAAACGAAATAGCACAAATCGCATACGATTACATTAGATTCGTATGCGAAATGAATTCGTTTCAAAAAAATGGTCTCCGGGTGGTTTAATCTATCGTTATTATTGCATCTCTCTCCCTCATTTTTCTGGCATACTGTACTGCCAAAAGTGAGACAAACTGAGAATTAAAAATACATAAACATGCAAAATTTCAGCTCAATGGGAAAACGGGAAGTAAGTAAATTTTAAGTTGCAAGATTTTACAACTCCAGATGTCAAAGAAAATAAAAGCTTGTAGATAGCTTTACAAAGAAAAGAAAGATTTATGAAGAAAATAAAAAGTACTGTCTACGATACATTTGTTAGGCCGTGTTGCACCGTCTTACTTTAACATTGACATCAAAATTTTGGATGTCAAAAATCTGTCTAACATAAAACACCGGTTAGTGTCAGTTAGGGTCAAAGTTAGGTGGTGCATCTCAGCCTTAGTGTATTTTAATTAAATTTAATACAAGTAAGGATGACGAAAATAATCGATAAAGAAAGAAAGAAAGAAAATATTTTATTTGGCCCAACATATTAAATTATAGTAAGTTACAGTAAACAGTTTACAGTACTTGCACATTTGTGGACCAAAATGGCATCCGCTCAGCATTGTGTCCTGCTCTGAGGTAGACCCAGAACAGGACGCTGTTATTCTGCGGAGGCCACTTTTTTAAAAGAGCGTCACATTGGACGCCATAAACATTGGCATTTTTATTTTAAAATTATATAAACTTATACAAAGCTTCAACGATTACATAAATTTGAAGGTATGTGTGCTTGCTGTGTGTGTTAGGTGTGTGTGTGTGTTAGGTGTATGTGTTAGGTGTGTGTGTTGGGTGTATGTGGCTTGTGTGTGTGTCAACAGAAAGTGCTAGATGTGTCAAAAAGTTATGTTTGTGTAATAAAGGGAAGAGATGCAGAACAACTACTCAGGCAATAGACATTTGTTCGTCTAAGGGCAGATTTTTCAATCGTTGGATAACTTTTAACTAAAGAATAAGTTTGACACATTGACAGATTTAGTATGAGAAATATGTCAAAATGACAAGATTATTCTTCAGTTAAAATTTATCTGACGATTGAAAAATCAGCCCTAATAGAAATTTCTTTAAATTACGTTTGAAAGTAGCATTTGATTTGGAGTTTCGAATTGGCGGCGGTAAGTTATTCCAACATTTCGTGGCAGATTAGTGATCTCACTCGAATATTTCTTATAGTAGGTATACAAGATGTCGAACAAATGGTTACTTACTGAAAAAGTGCTTCATAAGACCTAGCAAACGGCATCAATATAATATGTTTAAGAACGAACTGAATCTATTCAAAAAACCTATATTTCCAGCTTTCATACATTTAATACAGTTACAAACAAACACGAAATCAATGGTTTCTGAAAATTCTGAGTGCCTTAATGCCGTCCCCTTTATCTGTTTATTTAGTATTTATTCATTAGTATCTCTTGATGATATTGTAGCAAGTTAAACCTAAAATCATGTTTTCCGTAAATAATTTAAATAAGAATGCAATTTACGAGTTTGTTGTTTGATAATTATATATTAGTTACTGAATTAAAAATTTAAATTTAAAAAATTAACACTTCTAATATGGTAGGTATGGCTGACGGCATACATTTAGTATGAAATTCGGAAACATTGAATTTTCGCATAGATCCAATTTATTCTTTGACCTATTTATTGTTATTGTTTTAAAGAGCTCATGAAGCACTTACAGGAACAGTAAACAGTTTCTCGATATCTTGTATAGTTAAAAATCAAGTAAAATCACTTATCGTTTCCACGCTGTACCTATACTTTTAAAAATAAACTCATTTTATACGTTCATTTGTATAAGTATCTACAATACAAATACCTAACCAACGTAGTTGACGTTTTATAAAACTATTTGTCTAAGTGTCATCGAGCGACCGCTGGTGGATTTGCCATTTACCTGACCTACCCCTTTATTACTAAACGTTTAATATCAGATGAATAGTTACGCACCAATTTCTTTCATTCAGTCGTCAGTAATTGAGAATGTTACTAGGTATGCAAAATCACTTGAAACCTATGTTACAGTTAAGCTTTTACATATACAAATACATTAGTTTTTATTTCATTCAAAAATACCCAATAGTTATGGTTTTATAGGCATTCAAAGTTCGCTTAAATATTGAGTCCCGCCGACGGTCACGTGACCCCGCGTGACGTACATTCACAGTGTCCGCTCACTAGAAAACGGATATAAACATACTTAAATACATTTTTTTTTATAAATACAAACTTATTATACATATTAACTAACACCCAGACCCCTCACAGAAATTAAAATTGAACCAAACCCAAACTTGATGCGATTGTGTCGTTTTATTGCGAATTACCTTCCAGCTCCATCATTAGACCCTGATTACTATATAGAATTAAAATACTCATCAATACAAAACGAACGAGCACAAATTCGATGCATTTAAGTCGTTTTATTATAGAGTTCCTNATGATTTGATGATTGTTTTGTCTGAACCCCCATCTTTGACATTGTCTTGCATCTTGGCGTTTTCAAATAAAATAGAGATGAGTAAATTAATGTTCAGCTGTTGACAGCCTGCCTACATTAATGAGTTAGTCATGGATTTCGAAGAAACGTGCCTAAGCGCTATCAAGGTAATAAATGCCAAGTTTGGCCTTACCTTTTAAGAATTATGTTCAAATTAACCGAGGTGCTGGGTGTTTATGGTAATAATTACCGCTTAATACTAGCTTTTCATTTCAATTCAATGCAATTTAAAAATTTA